AGTCATTTATTGCTGAAGAAAACATATCGTTCCCTAAAAATGGATAGATTTCAAATATACATAATTATTGTTGTCGTTCTTTTTGTCATAATTACTATATTATATATTTTCAGAGATAAAGTGTATTATCAATTAGGTATAACACCTAAAGAAAATAAATAATTTTTAAGTCACTGTAATAACAGTTCTAGAATAAATTTCTTCATTTGTAAATGTGAAGGGTTCTGAATAAGTTTTTCAAAATTAAAATTTTTTTTTTAAACAATTATGACAATTTTTTTTAAAATTACATTATAAATTCTATTATCAGTTGCATCACGCGTTAGCCTTCTTTATTTCATCCTAAATGTACAAGTGATATGATGAAAGTAAGTCGCGCGCGAGACTCAGTTTAACTATATACTCTAGTTTACAGCATAGGAATTGTTTTTTAAATATTGTTAAAGAGACAAATCAGATACTTTGACGATTGTTACGTGCGATCAGCAAAATATTTTAATAAAAGTAAAAAAAAGTGTTTAAATAAGAAAAAAACAATTATTGCAAAGTAAGAATTGTATAAATTTCATAAAACATTCAATAACACAATGTCAGTGTCCGTAAAGTATCAAAATGTTTATCGAATTCTGGCTGACGATAGCAACAAAACAATGTCATTACCAATTTCCCTCGTTGTTAATTTGTCTAACATGGAAGATTTTACGAATGTTGTGAGAATACAAATTTTTCTTCTTCAACATCTTTTGCCATATCCTCATAATGATGGAGACAATACAGAAGCAATAAACAAATTTTGGTATATTTCAACTGAAGAATTTAATATACTTCTAGAAAGAATGTTTAAACCACACATTGAAGGTACAAAATTTGAAAGTGTATTGTACAATCTTACAAGGTTAATTAACAGTTGCAAGTTAACGTGTGCTGATTACCTATCTGATTTCAATCAGATCTATTCCTTCATCTTCTTCGAGTACAATGCAAAAAATAATGAAGCTTGTAAAATATTGACACACTTACGTCAAATATTACGACAAGAAGTAAACAATGTTCGATTTGAGGAATTACAACACATAACAATGATGATGCAACGTCTCGTTTTAATAATGCGAAAACCATATGCAATTTACGCTGCCGCTGTAACAACACTCTTCCATTTACCTCTATTGATGGGCTATCCAGATATTAAAATTAAATGCGAAATATCGGAATTAAATCACATCTCTCTCACCGATGTTATTGCGAATATAGTCTTATTATCCGTACACGAAGCACTAACAGAAAATAGAGATGAATTTTTACGTATTTTCATAAATCGTAAACTTGGCCACGTCCATAATTTAGATTCACTGCATCATTGGTATCAGCATTTATTATCCATTGATCGCAATTGTGTTAAAAAATACATTTTGAGTGTTGACAAATATATGAATGACAAATCGGAAGAGCAAGTTTCAAACAATGATGATTTCCTAATAGTAGATGGTGATAATGTTTCATTTAATTCCAATGGTTGGAGAATTTTGGCTCTATTGACACGCGAAGACCGAGCATTTGCTTTGATGCAAAAACGTGTACTCGAGTCAATTGACATTTCATTAACGAGTTTTATATCCATTTGGTTCACGCCTTACTCAATGCTGATGCATTATCCCCAATGTAACGTTAACAACATGTCCTATACTGTTTCCATTAAACGAATGATTCAAAAATTATGTAAAATGACTGGATATGCTAAAAATGATCGTGGAGAACGACTCAACTACTTAACTTTATATAGATTTGTTAATGAAATATCGAATACAATAATAAATATGCGTCTCTTTAATTACATTGATGTGATTGAATTGTTTCATGTTTATAATCGTCATCAAATAGTGGTTGAAATTATGCAATTTATTTTGGATATCAGTCCTAAAGCAATGGGGAAAGTTTTGAATTCAACAGCGTCAAAATCTTCAGTTCATTAATAATGTAATAGTAAAAAAAATATGCTTGTGTCTATGTATAAAATTACTTTTCCCGATTGAAATATTCACTTGGAAAAAAAGATGAAGGAAAATGTAAATGTAACATAACTATAATGGAGCTCTCACAGCTCTGCCTGCCTGCGCAGGCAGTAATTGGAGTAAGAGAGAAAATCAATTAGAGTGAAAGAGACAGTAAATTCAAATTTGTATGCTGCCTACTAGCTGTGAGAGCGCCTTAAAACATGAAGAAATCGATAACTCCGAGTCTTCGACTCGAAGTCATCGATTTCTTCATGTTTTATAATAATTAATAAAATTAATAATAATTATTAATCAAAATAATTTATAATAATTAAAATCATTATCAATTCAATTATTATTTTTAAAAATTTCAAACTAAAATTCTTCGATTATTTTTTTAAATTTTCGAAAAAGTTCTTTGACAATTTTCCAATTCATATCTTTACATGTATTCAATTTTACGAAATTTCAATTTTTCGTAAATTCTTTAATTCAATAAATATTAGAAAATACAAACTAAAAATAATATTTAAAAAATTCAATTAAACTTTTTCAAAAAAATTAATTACAAAATTCAATTATTTTTAAAAATACCCGCTATATTGCTTTTAATATTCTATTATCTAAAAGTTGAACTGAAATTCATTTTTATAAAATTAAAATCAATTTTTATTAGAAAACTCTACTAGAATTCCATTATTTAAATACAAATTTAAATGTAAAAATGCAAAATAAATAATTTATTGAATGAACGTTTCTTAAAATTCAATTCCCATAAAAAATCGTTATCAACAAATTTTCAAATAGTTGAATTCTATCAACGAATTATAATAAAATTTTTAAGAATAAATTACATTTTTCGAGAAATTCGATTAAAATTGTATTAAAAATAAATAAAATAAATAAAATAATTGAAATTCTGCATTGAATTTTATTATTTATTCGAAAATAATTGAATTCTTGCGAAGAATTTTATTAAAATTTTCAAAAATAATTAAAATTCTTGTAAAAAATTAACAGGAATTCAATTATTTGAAAAAATTTTTTTAAAATTCTTGGCATAAATTAAAAATAACAAAATTCTTAACAGATTTTCAATTACTTTTAGAAATTTTAATAAAATTTTTCGCAAAAATTTAAATATTTTCGTAAAATAATAAAAAAAATCTTTGCAGAGATTCAATTATTTTCAAAAATATCAGAATTTTAGTAGAAATTCAAACATTTTAAAAAGTTTTGATAAAACTTTTTTTTGCTAGAAATTCAATTATTTCTAAGACAATTTTAAAAAAATGTCTCGATAAAATTCAATTATTTTTTAAAAGTCTTAATAAAATTCTTCTCAAGAATTCAATTATTATAATCTAAGATTTTAACTGAAATTTATTTTTATAAATCAATGTATATGAGAAAATTCTACCAGAATTCAATTATTTAAATACAAAAATAAATAATTTATTGAAATAATTGAATGTTTCTTGGAATTCAATTTCTCTTAAGAATTTTATCAACAAAATTTTAAATAATTAAATTCTTTGGACGAATTTTAATAAAATTTTTAAGAATTTTTTCGAGGAATTCGATTAAAATTCTATTAAAAATAATTTGAATTCCTAAAAAGAATTTTATTATTTACGAAAATAATTGAATCCCCGTAAAAATTTTATTATTTATGAAAATAGTTGAATGATTGCGAAGAAATTTATTTAAAAAATTTGTTATTAATGAAATTCTTGTGAAATTTTTATTATTTTTTGAAAATAATTATAAAAGTTTTTGTAAAATTTTATTAAACTTTTTTTTAAATAATTAAATTCTTCTGGTAAATTTTATGAAAATATAGTAGATATTGAACAATATTTAATTTTTGTGAAGAATATTGTTACTTTAGAAAATAATTGAATTCGTGTGCGATAAATATTGTTAATTATGAAAATAATTGAATTTTGTCGAAGAATTTTGCTATATATTTATTTATAAAGATAATTGAGATGTTGACCTTTTTTTACATTTTTTGAAAATAATTGAATTACGGAGAAGAATTTTAATAGTTTTTAAAATAATTGAAATTTTGACGAGAATTGGTATAAAAAATTTTGAACATAATCGAATTTCTCCGAAGAATTTTATTTTTTTTTAAATATAATTGAAATTTTGCAATGGATTTTATTAAAATTTTTAAAAATAATTGAATTCGTGTGATAATTGTTGTTAATTATGAAAATAATTGAAATTTTGTAATGAATTTTAATAAAATTTTTGAAAATAATTGAAATTTGTCGAAGAATTTTGCTATTTATATATGTAAAAATAATTGATATGTAGACCTTTTTTTACATTTTTTGAAAATAATTGAATTTCGGAGAAGAATTTTACTATTTCTAAAGATAATTGAAATTTTGACGAGAGTTTAGAAAAATTTTTGAACATTGTGGAATTTTTGCGAAAAGTTTTTATTACTTTAAGCGTGGAGTAAGTGCAACAGAGATGGAAGCATTTGCCTATCTTTCTCTTGTTGTTCAACGTGTTGCGCTGAATTGTAGAATGGCCATAAACTTGATCAGAATAGAAACGTAACCGGAATCGTTAACGTAAGAATGAGTTAGAGAAGGATAAACAATATACCTATCCTTCTCTAACTCATTCTTTCGTTTACGATTCCGGTTACGTTTTTATTCTGTTTTGGCCTTAATGACAGTTTTTCTTCAATTTTTCACTATCCTTTCTACTATCAAGAAATTCTGCTTCCGGTTTCACGTTTTCTGCTCACATTACATCCCGAAATATTGTACCCAGAGTTCTATTAATTTCCAGAATCCTAGAATTTATTTCTATAAAGGCCAATGCACAAAATATTCGCGAAAATCGTTTAGCGAACGCAAAGCATGAATTAGTAAAGGACAGAGTTACAATTGTGTCCTTTACTATCTCATATAACTCATGAATCTATTGTGCATTGGCCTTAAAGCCATGAACTATTTTCAAATCCAATCTGACAACACTGCACACGTCAAATTGACAGTTTTGAAAAATATATACATGTTGATAACACACTGGATAACACATTTATATTTATAAATATTTAAAACAAATATTTTGTCTTCCCTTCTTTTTTGTAATAAAATATATGCGGGTACGTTTGCCCGTGACATATGTCACAGAGCGTAATAACAAGTTTTGTTGATTATTTTCAACAAGTTTTAAGAATAAATTCGGGTATGAGTGAGAATAAAGAAAACACTCAAGCACAAAATTTGCGTTCAGGAGAGTCTAACCTCACTTCGAATAACAGTAGTATTTTTCACGCTGTTTATATTCCTGGCGAAAATGAAAAAGGCGATGCAAGTGAGTATTTATTTATTTTTATCTCTTCTTGTTTATTCTTTCTTTTTATTTTATTTTTTTTTAAAGTTTCCATTATTTACCCGCAGTTTTTGACTGACGTGTCCTTGGAATGTTAACTTTCAAATTTACACCCATTATCATTGGATTCCAATCTCATCAACAAACACGCGAAAATATTATTTTTACATTTTTTAATTAATGCTTTGTTTATTTACAATTTAATTTAATATATATTAAAAAAAAATTTTTTTTCAAATAAACTTACACATTGTTTTTTGTTTTATCTTTTTTGATTTATTTTCATTATTTTTCATACTTCATTTCTTTTTTATTAGTTTCAAATGAAAGAAATTCTTTTTTATTTCTATTAGGTATTAAAATTAAAATTCTCGGACAATTAATTTCTAAAATTTTAATAAAATTCTTCGCAAGAATTAAATTATTTTTATAAATAATAACATTCTTCGTAAGAATTTACTTAATTATTTTTATAAATTAGTAACATTTTTTGCAAAAATTCAATTATTTTAAAACAAAATTTTAATAATCCTTCGAAACAATTCAATTATTTTTTTAAATAGTAAAATCTTTGCAAAAATTCAATTTGTTTCAAAAATTTTAATAATCATTATTAATAATCCTTCAATTTAATTTCATTCAATTTTTTTCTTAACTTGTAATAAAATATTTCAAAAGAATTTAATTCTTTTCTAAATTTTTTATAAATCCTTGAAAAAAATTCAATTTTATTTATATATAGTAAAATTCATTGCAAAAATTCAATTATTTTTAATACAATTTTAATAAAATTTCATGAAAGAATGCAATTTTTTTCTTAATTCGTTATAAAAAATTTCAATAGAATTCAATTATTTTCTAAAATTTTAATAAATTCTTTGGAAAAATTCAATTATATTTGTAAATAGTAAAATAAAATAATAAAATTACATGAAAGAATTTAATTATTTTTAAAAACATTTTTTGAAAAAATTCAATTATTTTCTAAACTTTTAATAATCCTTCGAATCAATTCAATTACTTTTTTAATAGTAAAAGTCTTTGTAGAAACTTAATTATTTTTAAAGAAATTTGACGAAAGAATTCAATTATTTTCTTAATTTGTAATAAAATATTTCAAAAAAATTTAATTATTTTCTAAAATTTTAATAAATTTTTTTTAAAAAATTCAATTATTTTCTAAACTTTTAATAATCCTTCGATTCAATTAAATTATTTTTTTAATAGTAAAAGTCTTTGTAAAAACTTAATTATTTTTAAAGAAATTTGTCGAAAGAATTCAATTATTTTCTTAATTTGTAATAAAATATTTCAAAATAATTAAAATGTTAAATGTTAATTAAATGTTCAATTTCAATTATTAACAAACACGATTATTTTAAAAATTTGAAAGAAATTCTTCATAAAATTCAATAATTTCAAACATTTTTGATTAAAATTATTATTGAAACTCCATTATTGAAAAAAAAATAAATAGAAAATTTATTTTTTAATTAATTATGTAAACAAAAAATAATTTAACAAATTCTTTTTAAAAAAAAATGAAATTTATCAGGTTTATAATTTTTTTTTTTTTTTTTTTTTGCTGGTACTTTAGATATTTAATAAAAATATTGTAATAATGAAATTTCAGAAGAAGATGATCGGGTTTTTATTGAAAAAAGTGAGGCATTAAAATTAATAAAAAGTCACAAGACTGGAAGATTAAAATCATTTAAAAATCGTTCGGACGCTGAAAATTTTTCACGACATGGTGGATTAACGAATGCAACGAAAGTTTCAACAATAACCACCGAATCTGTTGTTGGCGAAGAAAAATCCAGTAATTTTAAAGGTCCAAAGCCTCAGGATTTGGTGCGATTTCGTAAATTAATTGAGGCCGGTGATTTAGATGCGGTAAAATCAATTATTTGGGAGAATCCCCGATATTTAGTTAGCAGTGGAGATACGCCTGCAATTTTACAGGTAAAATACATACATTTTTTTCTAATTTTTTAAAAAAATTTTCAGTACTTTCAATTACATATTTCCGAATTCAAATAGTACATACAAAAAATAATAACATTTTAGAATTATTTTTAACATTTTTGAAGAAAAAAATCATGTTCAAAATATTTAATTAAAATTCATCAAGAAATTAATTAGAATTTTTTTTTGAATATTACAGAAACTCTTTTAAGAAATTCAATTGTTATCGAAAAATTACATTAAAATATTTTTAAAAACTATGAATGAAATTTGGTAAAATTTAATTGTAAACAAATAGATTTGAAAATGTTCAAAGAACTTTTTCGAAAATTATTAAAAGTAATTGATTTAGAGAAGAATTTTAGTTAAAAATTCTATTTAAATTTAAATTAAATTAAATTAAATTAAATTAAATTAATTAAATTAAAATTTAAATTAAATTAAATTTAAATTAAATTAAAATTTAAATTAAATTAAATTTAAATTAAATTAAATTAAATTAAAAATAAATAATAATTGAATTGAAATGATGAAAATAATTCTGATAAAGTTACAGTAACAATATTTTTATAATATAAAATAATGATTTTGTCACTCGGTCGATAAATTAATAAAAACGATGAGAAATAAAATTGATTGAGAATTTGAATTAATATTTTGATATTTTTATATTGTTTTGTTTCTTAGGAAGGTTCTCGATATAATGCTCTACATATTGCTACAAGGTCTGCTCATTCAGGTTTAATGTGCGAATTATTATTGGGTACAATTATTAATCCTGATTTTGTAAAATTACTTTACGGCGAAGTGGATTTGCAGAGAGCTCAAATTTTACTCGATCTCTACCTCAATACACCAGATAAAGGTCTCAATGAGACTCCACTTCATTTTGCGGTGAAATTTGGACAAAAGGAAGCAGTTCGTGTCCTCGTCTCTTATCCACAATGCGTTAAAACTTTATTGAATAAGTTTAAACAAACGCCTTTAGAGGTATTTTATTTATTTATTTTATAAATAAATTATAGTATTTATAATTAATTACAAACTAATTATTATATTAAATTATTAATATTAATAATAATAATATATTATTATACTTAATAAAATATTGATTATACTATTAAGTTTCTTGTATTTTTTTGCAATTTAAAAGATTTAAATATTTGCAATTAAATTTGTTACCGTAGATAATTTGTGCAAGAAAACACGGAGACGATGAGGAACTAAAAAGACTAATCCGCAGTTTATTGGAAGATCAATTTTATGTACCAGTTCTCAGGTCCGATGACAATACGTTACAGCCGACAATTGGCGAACCTTTCTCGCCAACGAGTCCTCTGGTAAGTTTATCAAAAAAAAATTTCTATTTACTCGTTTCCAAAAACGAAATGAATACCTAAGAAATTTTTTGTTTATTTGATATAAAATATTTTTATATTCTCTTAAATAATTTATCTTTTCTATTATTACTAATTTAAATTATTTTTCTTTATTTCGTATATAAATAAAATTTTTCATATTCTTGAAAAAATTTTAGTTTTTTCATTTCATTTAATTTACAAAAAAAGTTTTTCTTCACTGATATTCAAGAAAAATATTATTGTTTATATTGACAAGAAAGATTTTCTTGTAATTTTTGTATTTATTTTAATTAAATAAAATATTTTTTTCATTTCCAAAAATAAAGAATCAAAAAGTAAATGAGGATCCAATTAGTCCTCGTGTGGAGGTTCGTGCTTTTGCTGGTCCCATGAGTAAATCTCAGGCGATAGAATTTCGAAAAAAATGGAAAACACCGCCACGATATCAAATTACTCCAACGAGATTAAATTTCACGCCAACACGAGAGAATAAGCCGAATGATTTCACGGATTCACGTCCAATTGTCAAAACTCCCGCTCAAAATTTGTCTCTTCGATTGCAGGACACTGAAAAAGGACTCGAAAGAGTTGGAAGGTAATCTATATTAACAATCATATTCTGGTAATCTGTTCGCAGTTTGAAATTAGTTATTAAATTGCTTCTTTGTTTCCTAACTTTTCTTAAAATTTTTCTATTTAAATATTTTTAATTTTCAAATTAATGTATTGAAAATCATTGAATTCCTGTAAAGTATTTATCAAAAAATTTGAAAATAATCAGGGCTGCTACAGGTCAGGGAAATCAGGGAATTTAGGGAAAAGTCAGGGAAAGTAAAATTGGTCAGGGAAGTCAGGGAAAAGTCAGGGATTTTTTTTTAGTAACTGGAAAAAATTGAATTTTGGAGAAGTTACAAATGATTGCAGAAATTCAATTATTTTCAAAAGTAATAAAATTTTTCGCAGAAATTCAATTATGTTCAAAAATTAAAAAAAATTGTCATAAAAATTCAATTATCTTTGAAAATAATAAAATTCTTCTCCAAATTTCAATGATTTTCAAAAATTTTAATAAAATTCTTTGCAAAATTTCAATTATTATCAAAAAATTTTTCTCAATTCAATGATTTTCAATATCTACAGTTTCAATAGAATTTTTTAAAAGAATTCAGTTATTTAAAAAAAAATTTTTGATAAAATTCTAAGCAAACTTTGCAATAATTCAATTATTTTCATAAATAAGAACATTTTTTTTACAAAAATTCAATTATTTTCATGAATAATAAAATTCATCATAGAATTTCAATTATTTTTAATACAATTTTAATTGAATTCCTCGAAAAATTTAATTATTCTTGAAAATTTTATTAAAATTTCTCGAAAAAATTCAAATTTGTTGATAAAATTCTTTATGATAATTAAGTTTCGAAAAACATTAATTTATTCAATAAATTATTTATTTTTGTATTTAAATAATTGAATTTATGTAAAATTTTCCAATAAAAATTGATTTGAAAATTAATATTAGTTAAAATTTTAGATAATAATTGAATATTAAAAGCATTATAGCATGAATTTTTAAAAATACATAATTTATAAAATACATAATTTAATTCTTTCAAAGAATTTTAACAAAATTTTTGAAAATAGTGACATTTTTTGAAGAATTTACTTAAAATTGTATTAAAAAGAATTGAAATCCTGTGAAGAATTTTATTAATTTATGAAAGTAATTGAATTCTTGCAGTGAATTTTTTCAAATTTTTTTTTTTTAAATTGAAATAATGTAAAGAATCTTATTATTTATGAAAATAATTGAATTCCTGCATCGAATTTTATTACATTTTTTTTAAATAATTGAATTCTTTTGAGAACTTTTATTAAAAAAGTAGATTGTGAAAATATTTTAATTTCAACGAAGAATTTAATTATATTCGTGAAATGTAATTAAATTCTTACAAAAAAATTAAGAGAATAATTCCATTTTTCTAGGAATTTACTTTAAATTATATTATAAATAATTGAAATCCTCAGAAAAAATATAAATTATAAATTTTATAATTTATGAAAATAATGGAATTCTTACAACGAATTTTATCAAATTTTTTTTAAATAATTGGAACCATGTGAAGAATTTTATTATTTATGAAAATAATTCAATTCTTGCTTAGAATTTAATTATAATTTTTGTAAATAATTTAATTTTTTTTTTTGAAAAATTTTATGGAAATTAAAATTTTTATAAAATACTAACTATATACTCCGAGTCGAAGACTCTCGGAGTAATTAATATCTTCGTTTTATAATAATATTCTTATAAGTTGTTTAATTTTAAAAATGTTTGAATTTAAATGTTTTGAAGAATTTTAATTCCTATGGAAAAATATTCTTTATGGTCAGGGAAAAAGTGAAAATTGAATTTTTTGAAGAGTTTAATTATTTTTCATATAGAAAATTAAATTCTTTTTAAACAATTTTATTAATGTTTCTGTAAATAATTACATTTTTTTTATAAAAGAATTCCATTAAATTTCGTAAAAAATAATGTAATTTTTTAAAGTAATTTTAATTGAAAATTTTTGAATATGTAATTGAAATTTACAAAGAATTTCATTAAAAACTTTTGAGAACAATTGAATTCTTTAGAGAAAGTTTATTACAATTTAAAAAAATAATTGAACCCTTATTTTCCCCTTTTAGAGTTTTAGCCGAAGAATTACATGTTCCGTGGAAAGAATTTTGGCCATTTTTGGATAGTTTCGCTGATTTAGGATGTTCCGATGGTTTATGGAAGTTGGAAAAATTCCTCGAGGCGAGATTCAAGGGATATGTGAGAAAATAAAATTTTATTTTATTAATTTTATTTTATTATTTTATTTTTATTTTATTAGAAAAATAATTTTCTATTATATTTCTATAGGAGAAATTTTTTTAGTATTTAATATTATTTGAAGAACGGAAAAAAATCTGAATTTAAAATTTTGGTTTTTTAAAATACGTAATTAAATTAATTAGTTTATAATAAATGATCTAAAATATCTTCTAAAAAACGTATTTAGATCTCTTATTGCATATATTTTGAAATTTTTTTATTCGATAAATATTTTATGACTAACAGTTTTGAAAAATTTTAAAAGAATTTATTTGTAATGTAACGTTTAGTATTGAATGTTTATTAATAGCTATGAATTAGATTAGGAAACATTAGGTTTTTTAATTAGTGAAAAGATATTTATTTTAGGGTGTCACTGAAAATTCTGTTACATTAAATGTTAATGGCGATCCACTAAATGATTTGAATAATTTGTGCAATAAGTTCGAGTCATGTAAATTGCAAAGTAGTGAAGAAAACAAGGAAAATTCTGGTAAGTTTTAAAAGAAAAATTATTTATAATCTATTAAGTATAAAAAAGTTTCTTTTAATAACGCAATTATTTTAAATTAATTTTTATAGAAGACGAATTTTACACGCCACCTTCATCGCCAAAGGCTTGCGATAGTTCCGAGGAAGAGGAAATGGAATTGGCGAACGAGGGATCGATAACTTTTATTGAATGGTAAGCGCATTATTATTATCATAATTATTATTTTTTATGATTTTAATTATTACCTACAGACATATTTAAAAAATTTAATTATATCTTAAAAGAAAGTGATTCAAAAATAATTTTTGAAAGATTTGTTTATAGTTATTTTTCGCACTTTAAAAATCCATATAAGTTGCATTTTATACTAAATAAAAATTCAAAGTATTTTATTTTCCATCATTATTTCGTAAAGAAAAATTGTAAAAAACGAATGTTTTTGAAATAAACATATTTTTTTAGTAACGCACCAACTAAAACTGATTATGCAGTTTTTAATGCAGTTCCGTCGTCAGTTACTCCACAAGATTATCCAAATATTTATCGTTGGAAACATGAAATGCAGTTAATTATGAAAAACAATCCAAATGGGTAAAAATCATCATTTTTCTAAAAACTAATTTAGAAATTGTTTATTTTTTAATTAAATCTTAATTATTTATTTTTATTATGTTAAAATTGTTGGATTTTAATTTTTACAGTTGCATATCAACGCCGGGAATAAGAAGGAAACTTCGTCTTTGATTAAATGGCGAGCGTTGCATTTAATTTAAAGAATCAAAACCAAAAAGAGAAATCGAAAATAAATGGACATCAGGAGTACAAATTTTTTTTTCCACAAATTTTAGAATTCCATAACATATTCAGTTTCTTTATCGTCGATATTTTCATTTGATAGAAAAAAAAGGAGAGAGAAAGATAAAAAAAAATTTTTTCTAAGCTAACTTTCATCTCTTAAATGTTATATTTTCTTGTTCAAAGCTATCGAAAAAATTAAGCTTTCCTTTTGGCTTGACTTTAAGGTCAAATTTAGAATTAAAAAAAAAAGATTATTATTTAGATTAGATTTTATGGGCTAATTATAATAATTAAAGAATAGTAATTTAAAAGAAGGAGGATAAAGCTAAACGTCTTTGCTACAAAGATTATTATATATATTTTCCTACAAACTTTTTCTACACTGAATTTAAAAAGGAGATTTTTAATGTGTGATAACGCTGCTAATTTAAAACATTAAGTAAAAAAGAAAAAAACATTTATAAAAATTAGCAGCGATTTTTTACTTTAAGCGAAAATTATTTATATGCGTTAATATATAAATAATAAGAGATCTTATGTTCTGAGAAATAAAATGTTTTTACTACTAGAAAAAGTGTTGTTTTATTTTATACTTTTTTTTTTATTTGGTTCTATAATGAAATTTTTTTTTCTTTCACGTGGAAATGATGATCTTTTTTTTATGCATTTGATCTACGCCATGTTTTTAATGGTACACTTTCCACTGGCTGATTAATTTTTAAATCGCATCTTATTGGTTGGCTCGAGTCCGTCAAACCGAACATTTCACTTAAAGTTTTTATTGCTGCAGCCGTTTTCGCTTCCTCGATTGAATCGCCGAATCCTGGAAAATTAAATATTTTATTATTATAGGTGCTCAAATAGATGATTTTAAAAAAAGTATTCTATTTATAAATTAAATTCGACAACTCATTAATTCTAAAAAAAAAAGTATGAGTAGCAATTTTTAGAAAAATTTTGCTCCTTTACATCAATTTATTTACCTGAACCAAGAAAATCTTCTCCAGAATAAAGCCCAATGTGATAAACGGACTGAATTGTCGTTACACCAGATTGACCGATAATTCTTGGCTCCACTGGCTCTCTATTTTCATTTCCTAGAATATCATCAATAACATCAATTGGCTCATCTGGACAATAAATTTCCATTAAATCCTTCTCGGCCAAATTGACAATAAGAAAATCACGAACAAAAATACTTGCGTGATTTAAATCAACACAATTCTTCAATGATGCAATTAATGCATAAAATGTATTAACGAGTGTTATTTCATCAATTGGAAATTCCTGAAATAATTTTTTTTCTAAATTAATTTAAAAATATAATTCTTTTGTCAAGATATGTTATTTTCAGCTTAATTATTAGTTTATCTAATCTAATAATTAAAAAAATTCAAGAACAAGGGAAAAAAAACTTACAGCACTCAATATTAATTCTTCCAATCCAATGCCTTTTGTTACTTTCGACAACATTTCCGTTGATAGAAGATAATTGGACAAAGTTCTGCAAATATAAGTAAATTAAAAATGAATTAAAAAAAAAATATTCTACGATTGTTGAAAAAAAAAACTATTCTTACTGAATACATTCACGTGGTGCGTAGGGCAATGAAACTGATAGATAATTTTCAACGATTTGCGGTAAAATTGTTTTTCCTTCTTCAATTAATTCTCTATTATCGTTTCTATTTATTTCAGGATTTTCAATGCCAGCTTTCTTTTGTTTCTCCTCTTCCATAATAATATATGATCTAAAAGTAAAAGAAAAGAATTTTTTTTAGTTTTTTAAAAATAAAATGACAAAATGCGAATAATTTTAATTATTCGATTCGAGTTTATTATTATCATCAAGAGACCTGTGTGTTAATGAACGTTCGAGTGAGTCCATGTCAAATTTTTCTGAGAGTCTTTGATTGAATGCATAAAGTTCAGAATCTCGATTCCACTCCAAGAATTGATTTCGAATTTCTGGTTTTTTTGTTTTTAGTGCTCTTTTTCTTCTGGTAAGTTCTATTAGAGTGGGAGCAAGGGTTCTTCTCATATTCCTCTGAGCTTTAAACACACAAAGAAATAAAAATTATATTTCAGTAAAGAATTTTTAATTAAAAACGAACCTGACGTCAGGAATTTATCAAAAAAATTAATAAATAATACACAGATTCAAAAATTAATTATTCGCACTCTTCATCGACACCGCGATTCAACCCGCTAATCCCCACTCCTGTTCGATTATTAGAAAACACGGAAATTAAACCAAATTTAATAAATACTTGGAAGTCGAATCGGTCACATTCGCCAGGAGCCAATGGCGACAATCTCCTATGAGCGTTGTATCGCTTTAAACAGTATTCATAAAAAAATAAAAAAAAAGACTATACATGTTCGGCTAAAAGGTTATTATGAGCCAATTTCACCAATTCTGATTAAAAGTTAATTAGCGATTAAAGACAATTTAACCGCTCACTATTGTTCGGTTAACGATTTTATCACTGATTAACTTTTAATTTTTAGTTGGTGAAACTGCGGTCCTATGTCTAGTAACCTTAATTGTACATAAACCAATATCCCAGATAACAAAACTCATTCACTTCTTCCCTTCTTTTTTTTTCTTCATTAACTTTCGTTAACGAAAAGTTAAGTTTCCATAACTTTTGTTTATTGTCCATATTTAGACTTAAATCTTTCTCTTTCACATATTTCTCAAATTCAGTTCATTAACCAATATCCCAGATAACAAAACTCATTCACTTCTTCCTTTCTTTTTTTTCTTCATTAACTTTCGTTAACGAAAAGTTAAGTTTTTAATAACTTTTGTTTTGTCCATATTTAGACTTAAATCTTTCTCTTTCACATATTTCTCAAATTCAGTTCATTAACAATTTCATTCCACTCTCTTCCTGAGCCATTAGAACCAAATCAGCTGCATAGGCTAAAAAAAAAAATTTCTCCCTCTCTTCTAAATCAGCCGTTAATAAATTAAACAATATTGGACTCATGGGGGCATTCTTGCTTTAACAATAATAAAATAATTAATGTTGTCATAAAAGATAAATTATATTCAAGTTGTATAAAATATTATGTTGTGTATTAAAAATAGATTTTTCTGTATTTATAATTTAAAACAACAATGTTTTAAATTATAAATACAAAAAAACAATTCTTTGGCGTATTGTTTTTATTGAATTAAAGTTAGTAAATTAAAAAATGTACATTTCTACCTGTATAATTGAGAAGATTTGCTTTAGAGATGTTCAATAATAATTTGCTGCAATTTCGTAACGAATTCATATTTGCTTTTTTCCTTCTGAAGAAAAAAAGTGTATTAATAAATATATTTAAATTGTACCTAAATTTTTTTTTTATATCGATATAAGAATAAAATTATATGTTTATAAGTTATATTTGAAAAATAAGTGAATTAAACTATTGTAATATTTAGAAATTTTAATACAATGTGTAAAATAAATTATAGGTTAAAAAGAGAAAATTTGCTGAAATAGACTTACTGTGAAGTAAATAATCTATATTAACAATTAACTTCTTTATAATTCTAAATAATTTTTTTTTTAACTATTTGTTATTTTTGGGAAATGTGTGTTCGAGTGCGGTGTGTGCTTTAAAAGTAGCAGACGACATTAAATACGGACTAAAGGCCTTTCTTCATCAAGGCAGCGTTTTGCGTTGCGTTTTGTAACTAGTCCATGTGAATGAGAGAGATGGAGATATACGTTCGCTGTACTTGCACTCATGGCCTAGTTACAAAACGCAACGCAAAACGGTGCCATGGGACTGCACCCTGACTTAGGCTGGAGTCCCATGGTAGCGTTTTGCGTTGCGTTTTGTAACTAGGCAATGAGTGCAAATAGAGCAAACATATATCTGTATCTCTCTCACACTCATGGCCTAGTTACAAAACGCAACGCAAAACGCTGTCATGGGACTCCAGCCTTAGGCTGAAGTCCCATGGCAGCGTTTTGCGTTGCGTTTTGTAACTAGGCCATGAGTATGAGAGAGATGGAGATATACGTTCGCTATATTTGCACTTAGGGCCTAGTTACAAAACGCAACGCAAAACGGTGCCATGGGACTCCACCCTTAGTTAATTTTTTAATTGGTTTGGACAACTTTTTTTGAAAAGTGGTGTGCCTTCTATAAGAATGTTTTAAGTCTATGGCGTAATGGAAGATTACATTGACAACTTCACTCCATTCACTAATTTTTGTCATGGAGTGGGGGAGATACCGTTTTTTCGGCACTCTTCAAAGGAAAAAACAAATATTGTGATTTTATTTTAATGGGAAGGGAAGTTAAGAATGAGTCAATGTTTCATAAACAAAGTTTAGTACAAGAAAGAAAGACTTCATTTTTTTTACCATTTCATTGTTAAATTAACGTCAATCTGCTTTGTATTTTATCAAAATATAAAATAACAATCTCGTTATTTTCAAGTGAAAATCTTCATCAACAGTTTGCTGTATATATATAACGGTAAACACACACCTTTTTTTCTATCTAGTATATCTATTTCTCTATTTGAAAAAAAAATACTTGTATCAGTTTTAAATATTCTTTAAAATTTTATTTTTCACTTCTATTTATTTCTGGTTTACATTTGAAAAAAGGTAAGTATTCTTTTTTTTAATGCTTCTCATTTTTGGTTAGTTTCGTCAAAATTTGTATATATGGGGCATTCCACGCCAAATCGGAAATTATTTTGCTTTTGCATCTTAAATTTTTTTTAAATATTTTTTTTCATTTAGTACTCTTTGAAATGAGCTACCTTGATTTTTTTCAAATTTTTTCATAAAGCGGTTCAGGAGATACAGATTTTTGAAAAATGACATTTTTTACGTAAATTTTTTTTTAAATGCTTATAACTCGGTCAAAAATTGATCAAATTGGACGTTCTTATAATGAAAAGTTTTGTTTTCATGCGTAGTTTTTAATAATTGAAAAAAATATAATATAATAAACTAAAAAAAGATAAATAAAAAATATAATATAAAAAAATATAATGAAAAAAATGAATTCATAGATCTAAAATTATCTATTTTAAGACTAGGATTAAAAGTTTTGTAATGAAAAAAAATTGAACGTTTTCGTTATCAATTATCAACAAATTGTTAAACATTACTCGTACAGAATGATTCATTTTCTATTTGATTTAAAGCTTTTCGAATCTCTCTGCTATATATATACATTTATCATTTCCGTGTGCATTTATTACTGTGAATTCGTGGAAGCGATTCTTGATGATTTTACGATATGATTTTTCTTTGAAATTCTTTAAATTACAATGAATTTTATAAAATTGTGAGCAATTGATTTTATAAAATAAAAAGAAAGCAAGCAAATGAAAACAAAAAAAAATAATAATAATAAATGTCTCTGCATTCAATTGATACTCACGTTTCTTTTATTTTCAGAGATTTTTTACAATAATGACGACAACACGAGAAGTGGAAACTGCAATTCCTCTGCAGTACAATGATTCTGTATGTATTTTCAAAAAAAATACTGTAACTAATAATAATAATAATTATTATTATTCAAAATTAAAATTTTATCATTATTATAATAATAATAATAAATTAGAATTTTATCATTATTATTATAATAATAATAAATTAAAATTTTATCATTATTATAATAATAATAAAATTTTAATTTTGAATCAGTCTAAAAAACTGAAAAAAAAATGTTTTTAAAAATATTTTTACTATATCTATGAAAAATGTTTTAATTAAACTTCATAATAATAGAAGAAATGATCTATTTTTAGAAACTGATGTAATTAATTAAAAAGCAAGTAACATTTTTTAACACACTTTAAATTACATAACAATGATACAATTATATATAATTAACTTTAGTTTCAATAAAAGTTCTATAGTTCAACATTAATGCATAAATTAAAAAACCATTTTATTGAATAAAAAGAAATTAAGAACACATTATATAGCTTAACAATAGATGTTTTGTAAGTGAATATGAATGTGCTACCTGTTTATAAACATTATTATTTTCAATTTTGAGATAAAAATAAAAAAAATATTAAATACCTGCAATGAAGGCATTTAAAAAACTAAGAATGTAGAAATTTTTTTAAATTATAAAATTATAATTTATATTCAGGCCTCGGATCGACTTTAAGGCGCAAAAAAAGTCGCTTTAATTGATTAAAAATTCAAAAAAAAAAAAGTCGTTTACTTAATTTAATGTTGTCACAAAAATTTTATTTTGTATTTCCCTGACGTTTCACTGATTTCTAAATTCAATTTATTAAAAAATAATTTTTGAAAGATTTGTCTATAGTTATTTTTAACACTATAAAAAAAAGAAATAAGTTGCCATTTTTTTATACTAAAAATGTTGTATTTTGATGCAATGTTTGGAAGAAAAGTTGAAAAAATATCGCATTTTATTTGAAAATAAATCGAAGAAAGGAGTATTTTTGGAAAATTGTCGAAAAAGTCAGAATGTCCGAGGCCTGCAAATGATAAAATTATTACAATTACTAAATAAAACTTGATGACCTGGCTCTTGTTATAAAAATGATCCAAATACTTTCAGTTTCATTATTAATTTTTTATTGCAGCATTGGAAAGCGATTTTTGAAAAATATGACACGGACGGAGATGGAAAAATATCGTATCACGAATTGAAAGCCATGATTCGTGGTCAAGGATTCTCAAATGATATTCCTACTCGGGTTGTTCGAATAATAATGCACAAAGCTGATGTTGACGAATCTGGACATTTGGATTATCCAGAATTTATCAACATGGTAGGTTTCAATTTTGTTAAAATTTCTATTCACTCCGTATTTTCAATTTTGTAAAGCAAAAAAACAAAAATTATATTACTTCATCATCATATATTATACTTTTGCTTCCCTTAAATTTGCAAAGAATTTAATTTTTAAAAATCTTTTAAAATTTAGTTAATTTCTAAAATTTCTAAAATTTTAAATGCTGTTGTACATTTTATAGACCGTTTAAAATGTTTTAGTCTGGAGAAATATTAATTTTTAATTCAATATTTATATTTAAGTAATTTTGAATTATTTTAAATTTTACAATGTTTCTTAAAAATGAAATTAACCCTTTATTGAACACAATGTGAATTGAGATTATGTTGCACAAACAATTTACGGGTTTTAATTAAACTGAAATGTAAAAACGTAAAATTGTAATTTTAATTATTGTAATATTAAAATTAAAAAAATTAAATGTATTATTTGAATTAAAGTTTGTTACTGCTTGATTTAAAGATACACCATCAGGATTTTCAAGGAATATTCGGTCACTTTGTGCATCGCTATGTGCACTCGTTGGTACCCCATCGTCCTAGTATGGGAGGTGTTATGAGGTCAGCGAGATATTCGAGCGATTTGCCAGATGGACAGTATGAGGAAGAATACAGTTGTCATCCGCCAGCAGTGGCGATGATTATAATTTCAATATTGGAAATTATTCTTTATTTAATTGACATTATCTCGAGGAGAGGATCAGTCCCTGTCGAGGGACCTGCTGCCGTTCTCTTCATTTACAATCCTTTCAGAAGGTACCAAATGTGGAGGTACATCACCTACATGTTCGTCCATGTTGGGTAAGTATTTTTTAGCGTACAACACATATTATAAAAAAACACAAGAAATCAATTTAATAGATTCAATTTAAATAAGTAAAATAAGGTCGATGAGACGTTATAAAAAAACCTAATTAAAAAAAAAAAATTGTTAAAAAAGTAAGAAATGAAAAATTAAATTCCATGACTATAAAATCTCATTTTAGTCGATTCACAAAAATTCAATTATTTTACAAATTTTTAGTTAGAATTCTTCAAAAAACAATAATTTTTAAAAGTAAAAAAAATAAAAATTATTTTAAATATAAAATTTATTTCAATTATATTTGGCAAAATTTCTAATTAATTGGAAATTTAGATTAATTTCTTTAAATTTTTATTGAGAATTAAAGTATCTTGAAAAATTTTAATTACAATTTTTCTAAAGACTAATTTTGTTCATAATTTTTAATATAACTTAATCAGGGTGGACACATATCAGTCAAGTCAGGAAAATGTCAGGATAAGAAAAAGTTTTTTGTCAATGAAATTAAAAAAATTGAGACTTTTTCAACTTTTCTTCCAAACATTTCAATAAAATACAATTTTTAGTAAAAAAAAAAATTGCAACTTATTTTGATTTTTATAATGCGACAAATAACTATAAACAAATCTTTTAAAAATCAATTTTTACAGAATTTTAATTGGAAATTTTGAAAATCTTTAAAGATAAATTTAAGAATGAAAATGAATGAAAATTAGTTTCTAATTTTATAAAATTCAATATTTTTAATTACATATTTCCAAAAATTCAAATACATACACAAAAAATATAACATTCTAGAATTATTTTTAACATTTTGGAGAAAATTGTCAGGTTCAAAATTTTTAATTAAAATTCATCAAAAAATTCATTAGTTCTTTTAAATTATGATTCTTTTAAGAAATTCAATTATTTTCGAAAAATTACATTAAAATATTTTTAAATTACTAATTATTAGAATTGTTTTCTAATAATTTTTTAAGATTCAATTATCTTCGAACAATATAAATAACAGGGTTGCCCTGCTTTTGCTCATTTTAAATTCCCTGACTTTTCCAGGTTTTTCAGGTTAAGAAACGGAATTTTTCCAGGTTTTTAAAACTATGTATATTTATATTTAACAACGACTTCCGGTTGAGACTTTACGCGAGCAATACGTGTCGGGTAACCGCGGGCTGAAAAAGTTGTTTCTTTTTGGTTTAAAGGGTTAGTGGACTTGCGATTTTTATTGCAGTTATTAAAGTGAGGTGTGAGTTGTTCAAGGAAATGTTTGTAAAGTGGGGGATTGAATGAATGATGAAAAATTTGATTATTAAAAAGTGGAGCTGGAGATAGTTGAGGTTATGTCGATAGCAAGTTCAGCGAACATCGAACATGGAAGACGAAGATAATTCAAGAGAGTCCCAACAGATGACGCCATTTAATAGAAGCCGATCTACGGAAGATAAAGTAGATTCTCCGCGTGGCGCAGTTTTGGAGTCAACGAAAAGGGGGAGTACAAAAGGAGTAATAATAAAAAAAAAAAGAGGACGACCTTCCAAGGCGGAACTTGCGAAAAGGAAAAACAACAAGGGTGTTAAAAATTTAGATAAGTATTTTAATAAGAAATGGGATGAAAAAATGTCCGAAATAACAGGGAAAAGTGAGTTTGTAAATAGTGGTGGAAATGCATCTAAACAATCAGAAAAAGACACAGAAAAATCAAGAAGTGAAACGATAAATAAATTGCTAGATCAGAACTCTAATATTGAAGAGGAAGTGTGTGTTATTGAGGAAGATGAGTTAGAAAAAATTTTGGATACATGGTGGGACAAAAAAACAAAAGAATTGACAGAGTTACTCAAACGTGCAGAAAAAGATGCGGTCTCGCAAGAAGCTGAAGAAGAAAGGATCACGAGAGAGGAAGCAGCATTAACAGCTGTAAGGAAAGCAAGAGAAAGAGAAATTAAATTGAAGGCTGAAATCAATCGACTCAAAGAGGAAGTTCAAAAATTAAATTCATCAATTCAAAATTTAGAGAATGGAGCTAGAAAAAAGAAGCGAACGCCCGGAAGAAATTTAAGCGAATTTAACCAATATCCGAGAAACCAAAGCCAGGAAGAAGGAGACAACACTCAATTGAGAATGGAAAACAGCGATGATACTCAAAACAAAAATGAGGAAGAAATAAATCTAACAAGCGAGGATAATCGAGCAAAAATACCCGAACTCTTGCAAAAAAATGAATTAGAATGGGAATTCAAAGAAAGAAGAAAAAGAAGATGTTGGATAAAAGTGACGGGATTCAGTGTTGTACGAGGGCCACATATGAAAAACGAAATTCAGGAAGTCTTAAGGGGACTAACCGGTGTTCAAATTACGATAAAAGAAGTGAGGGTTATTGAAGGGGGAATTCTAGTAAAATTGTACTCTTTGGAAGAAAAAAAGTATCTTTTGAGAAACAAAGGTAAATTACATGGAACGGACATCTGGATACAAGACGATTTAACGCCTAGAGAGGAGGAAATCAAGAAATGGATAAGGCAAGAGGTTAAAAAAGTACAAAATCAAGGATTTGAAGCCAGGTACCGGTATATGAGGTGGACAGTGGGGAATCGCAATTTTCGCTGGAATGAAGAAGAAGGAATAACCGAAGACAAGTGGTTTCGTCAATCGAGGTAATGAAGAAGAAAGGATTATCAAAGTTATTTCTTGGAATATTGCTGGAACTAAAAACGTGTTGGATTCGAAGAACTTTTGGGAAAATTTCGATCTCGTTATTTTTCAAGAAACTTGGTTGGAGGAGAAAAACGTAGCGGACTTTAAGAATAAGTTAAGTAAAGATTTTTATTGGTCGACTAAATCAGCAACTAGACAGTGTAAAAAAGGTAGAGCTAAAGGGGGGATATTAATTGGAGTAAAAAAAGAGGTGAGTGATAAAGTGAAATTTGAGGAATGGGAATTTGGTTTGATATTGTATGGGGGGTGGAAAGCAAACGGAAAGAAGGTGCGTATTATTTCTACTTATAACAATGTTGGTATATCTAAATTAAAAGAAGAACTAATTAAATGTATAGAAAAATCTCGACGTGAAGGGGAAGAATTAATCATTGTAGGAGATTGGAATGCGAGAACGGGGGAGGAATTGGGAGGATGTGAATGGGATAGACTAGATCCTTACAGGGGGTACACTAGAGATCGGAAATCTAAGGATAAGGTTCTTAATGCTGAAGGCAAAAAACTTTTGGAAATTTGTGAAGAACAAGGTTTAAGAATTTTGAATGGTAGAATAGAAGGAGATACAGAAGGAAATTGGACGTGTATCTGTGGAGAGGGGGGATCGGTTTTGGACTATATAATAGTAATGGAAAACAGTGATGAATGTCCAGTAAAGAAATTGGAAGTTGAACCTAGAATTGAATCGGACCACTTTCCAATTTGCTTTAACTTAGAATTAGAGGGTAAATTAGTTAGAGTAGACCAGAAGGATAGGGTTAGGAAACAAAGGAGAAACATTCTCAAGTGGGAAAAAGAAAAAGAAGAAGAATATAGAAGGGAAATGGAGAACTTATGGGACGAGGGGGAAAAAAGCGAAATCTGGGAAGATAGATGGAATAATTTTAAACAAAGCATATGGAAAGCTGCGGAATTAGTAGGGCTTATAAGAAAGGAAAGTAATGGAAATTTTACAGTAAAAACAGGTTTCGATAAGGATTGCGCAGAACAGAGATCGAAAGTATGGAAAAGTTTAAAAGAATTTCGTAAAAAAAGAGATGACGAAAGTAGATTAAAATTAAAAAGGGAAAAAAGAAAACTGAAAAAATTATGCGATTCAAAAGAAAAAGAAATAAAAGAGGAAAAATGGAATAAAGTAAAAGAAAGCAAAAGCATGAATAGTTTCTGGAAAGCGATAGGGGATTTTAGACCGCGAAAGAAAAAGAAAAGAGGGATGGCAGTAAAAAAAGAAAGATGGTTGCATCATTTTCAGGGATTATTAAATGGGAATAATGAAAATATAAATGAAACAACTAGGGAAAATGCAACAGGGAATAATAATTCAGAAAATAGAGAAGTAGGTTCAAGCATAGAAACAGACAATGACGAGGATGACAACGACTTAAATGCAGATATATCTTTCGATGAATTAGCTAAATGTATCATGAGAATGAAAAAAGGGACAGCTCCTGGAGAAGATGGGGTACCAATAGAGTTCATAATAGGAATTCCTAGAGTATGGGCTTTAGAGTTACATAAAATAATAAACGGTTTTTGGAATCAAGGTAAATTAGGAAAAGGTTGGGAAAAAGCGAGAATTATAGCTATCTATAAGGATGGAGACGAAAATGACACAAATAACTACAGGGGTATATCTTTGCTGGATACGGGTTACAAAATTTTAGCTTCACTTTTAGACGAGCGCATTAGAAACTGGTTAGAAAAAAACAAATTGTGTAAAGAAAATCAAGCAGGGTTTCGCAAAAAAAGGTCAACCAGAGATCATATTTTTGTCCTAAATTCATTGATAAAAAATAACTTAAAAAGGGAGAAAGGTAAACTACACGCCGCATTTATTGATTTTAAAAAAGCTTTCGACACAGTCGATAGAGAGATTCTCTTTAGGAAGCTGTCGAACTTAGGAATAAAAGGAAAAATGCTCAAAATGATCATGGAAATATATAGAGTAACATCGAATGAAGTAGTGACTGAAGAAGGACTTACGGACTCATTTGAAACAAATAGAGGAGTAAGGCAAGGATGTCCTCTTAGTCCTACATTGTTTAACATTTTTATAGAGGACATGGATGAAATTTGGGAAATTAAGAAAGAGGGTGGCACGGTCATAGGGAAAGTTAAAATTTATTCTTTGAAGTTCGCAGACGATTTAGTATTATTGGCAGATTTTCCAGAAGGGTTGAGGCAAATGCTAAAATCACTAGAAGGGTACGTTACAAAAAATGGATTAGAAGTTAATATTAAAAAATCGAAGGTCATAGTGTTTAGGAAAGGGGGTAAACTAAAGAAAGGGGAAAAATGGGAAATATTCGGAGAAAAACTAGAAATTGTCAACGAATACAAATATTTAGGCTTTTGGTTCTCTACAAAAGGATCTCATGGAAGGCACGTAAAAAAAATGGCAGGTAAAATGCAAAAAGCAACAAATGCTGCTTGGGGCGTCTTAACGAGAGCTAGAATAGGGGGACTAAATACAAGACTTTATATTATGGATATTTTGTCTAAATCGGGAGGTTTATACGGAGTTGAAATTTGGGGATGGGAAAAATGGGATACAATGGAAAAAGCGCAAGGAAGATTTGTGAAAATGGCGATGGGACTGGACATCAACACCCCAGATTACATCTGGAAAATGGAATCTGGAAGAGTTAGTCTAGATGTAGAAGCTAAACGAAGGGTATTTAAATATCTCAAAGAAATTTTAAACATGGAAGAAAACAGACTTCCGAGAATATGCCTAAATGAGGAACTAAGAGGCATTAAAAACAATTTTCCATCAGCATGGGGAGCAAAAGTCCAAAAAGTTCTTAGCGAAGTAGGAGACGGCAGAACAATTCAATTATTGGGTCCAGAAGAAAATATGAGAGAGATTTCCGAAAATATAAAAAGAAATATAAAAGTCAAAATGGATCAGGACATTCAACAACAGTGGTATAAAATTGATAAGTCTTCATATTGCAAAAATTATGGGAAATGGAAATCTAAAATAGGGAGAGAAAATTACTGGGAAATTAAAGAACTAAGTTTCAAGGACAAGGAACAATGGGCTCGGATTAGATGTGGCAATGTAGGGAGGGCCGGGAATAAGGGTTTCACAGATGTAAGTTGTAGACTCTGTGGATCAGAAACAGAGAACATAGAGCATATTTGGGTGTGTAAAAAAGCTAGGGAGCTAATTGATAAAAAGTGGGTGGAAGAAGTTGATAAGTGGACCGATTGCGGCAAAAATTTAAGCTTGCAAAAAATTTGGTCAACAATGTCTGGCAAACCGATCCTCGCTCTCTGCAGATACGCAAGAGCCTTTGAAGATTTATCAAAATGTAAACAAAGCGGTTTATAATTTAAGATATTTAAATGTTTAAAATCCAGTGTTAAATTAATTTAAGTTATTTATGTTAAAGATTCGAAGAAAATATTTATGTACGGGAAATGTAAAAGGCCGAAAGGTCATACATATGAATCCAATAAAATAAATAAAATAAATAAATATATTTAACAAAATTTTTAATTCAAGCCATTTTGAAATTAAACATCTTATAAAAAATTGTTATAAAACATGCAAATATCGATAACTCCATGTGATTGATATCTTCATGTTTTATAATAATTAAAAATGACCGACTGATAAAATCATTATTTTATATTATAAGAATATTGTTATTCTAACTTATTCAAAATTACTTTCATCATTTTAATTCAATTATTGTTTTCCACAATTTTTAACTAAAATTCTTTTTTAAATTAATTATTATTAATTATTATTAATAATTTTTAAAACATTTCTTTCAACATTTTCAAATCCTTTTGTTTACAATTCAATTTTACGAAATTTCATCGATTATTCGGAAATTCTTCAATTAAATATTAGAAAATAAAAACTTCATATAACAAAAAAAATTCAATTGAATTTTTAAAAAAAAATTAAATCTACACAACTTTTAGTTAAAAGTATGAAAAATTCAAACATTCAAAGATCAAAATTCAATTATCTACAATTTTAACTGAAATTCATATTTGAATCAATTATAATTAGAAAATTCTACGACAATTCAATTATTTAAATAAAAAAATAAGTAATTTATTGAATAATTGAATGTTTCTTAAAATTCAATTCCCATAAAGAATCGTTATCAACAAATTTTCAAATAATTGAATTCTATCAACGAATTTTAATAAAATTTTTAAGAATAATTACATTTTTCAAGAAATTTGATTAAAATTGTATTAAAAATAATTGAAATCCAGCAATGAGTTTTATTATTTGTGAAAATAATTAAATTCCTGAGAAGAATTTTATTACTTTTGAGCAATATTTAATTTTTGCGAAGAATATTATTACTCTTAAAAATAATTGAATTTTTGCAATAATTGAATTTTTGCAATAATTTCTAACTTTTACAAAATTGAATTTTTTTCGTGTTTCTTTAATATTTATAAAAATAATTGAATCTCTGTGAAAATAAAATAAAAATTTTTGAAAATAATGAAATTATTGCAAAGAAATTTATAAAAAATTTGTAAATAATTGAATTGCTGTGAAATATTTGTTATTTATAAAAATAATAAAAGGTTTGCTGAGAATTTTATCAAAAACATTTTTAAAATACAAAATTCATTTCTTTTGGAAAATTTTATTAAAATAGTAGATATTGAAAATCATTGAATGGAGGAGAATTTTTGAAAAAAAAATTGAATTTATTAAAAAGAAACTCATTAAAATTTTTGAAAATAATTGAATTTTGGAGAAAAATTTTAATATTTATAAAGATATTTGAAATTTTGACGATAATTTTTTCAAACTTTTGCAACCATAATTAAATTTTTGCGAAGAATTTTATTACTTTTGAAAATAATTGAATTCTTCTGACGAATTTTATTAAAATTTCTTTTTAAATAATTGAATTCTTTTGTGAAATTTTATTGAAATAGTAGATAGGGTAACTGTACCAATTGTCGAGGGTTTTAGGCAACATGTGACTTTGACATTTTTTTTCTCGTAAGTAAATGCACTTTAAAATTTGATTTTTGTATATTTGGACGAAGGATCTAATAATGTTTAATATTCATATTTATTTTTTTAATATAAACTAAATTGTTAAGCAAAAAATATATTTAAAAGTCAATCGAGCAAAAGCACCATTTGTCGATGGTCTTGTGCTAATTTCTCGAGGGTCTGTTCCAATTGTCGAGGGTATGACATTTTTAAACATATAACCCAATATAACCTAACAATTAACCTGTACAGATATTAGAAAATCGAGTAGATATTTATTTTTTCGATAAAAATATTATAGAACATTACCAGAAAACAAATATATTTATTTAACTATAATTGAATAATTTATAATATTGATATAAAACATTTTTATAGTAGATGATACAGGACAGAAAATTATTTAACTGTTTTTTAAACTTTTATAAATATAAGTTAATTAAATTTAATCAATTTTGTTAATCAGACATTAATTGAAAAAATAAATTAATTTAAGTCACATTAAATTTGTAAACGAATAAAATAAACTTTTATTACCTACGAACTGTAAATATAATGGTTAATTATAATTAAACTATAGTACAAAATTTTTTAGTTTTAAATAATGCATTTTTTATTAATTTTTTTTCGGTCTTCCTCGTTTTTTTGGTTGATTATTTTCTGTTGGTTGTAAATTTTTGGAGCATTTTTTTTCTTTTTCTCTGTACCTATAAATGTTTGGCATTTATGTTTGACGTTTAGTAAATAAACACTTAACCATCGATAAATGGTGCATCAGCGAAAAAAGTGACTACACCAATTTTCGAGTCATTACCTCGAAAAATGGAACTGTCAAAAAAAAGGAACCAAATACCGATGATTTGCTTTTAAAAAATATTAAATATTTTTTTTTAACAAAAAAACATGCATACAAAATTAATTTAGTTCGTGTACAAAATTATAATAATAATTTTGTACACAAAAAGTCATTATAAATACGTTTAATTTGCATTTCTAAAAATCTGTTTTAATCAACCTGAAGTATTAAGAAAATGGAGATTCGTGTAAATTTCACAGCAGTGAATTATAATATTAATTAAATAATTATTTTAGTAGAATCGCTACGAAATTTGTATATATAAATATACAGTTGAAAATACAAAGATTATTTAGAAATTTTTTTTGTTCTTAAATATTATATATTATACTATTTATCTAAAAAAGAAAATTATTATCCTCGACAATTGGAGCACCCTCGGCAATTGGTGCAGTTACCCTATCTATTGTTATTTAGTAAAGTAATTTATAAAATTTTCTTTTACAGAACTTTTCATTTAGTGGTAAATCTCCTGGTGCAAATAATGCTCGGCATTCCACTGGAGATGGTACACAAATGGTGGAGGGTGCTGATTATTTATTTAGCGGGAGTTCTTGCCGGATCATTGGGAACATCAGTCTCCGATCCTGGTGTTTATTTAGCCGGTGCATCGGGTGGTGTTTACGCATTAATTACGGCGCACGTCGCAACAATTCTAATGAATTGGCGTGAAATGGAATTTGCCGTTCTTCAATTATTAGTGTTTGTTGTTGTGACCGGTGTCGATGTCGGTCAAGCGATTTACAATCGTTACACGGACGTTAACAATCAAATTGGTTACGTTGCTCATTTAGCCGGTGCAATTGCTGGTCTTCTCGTTGGAATAAATATTCTTCGCAATCTTGAAGTTCAACGATGGGAGAAAGTCATCTGGTGGATCAGCATCATTACCTACACTGCCCTAATGGCCGTTGCAATTTTTTGGAATTTCCTCAATCCCGATTATTTCCCATCGGCCAAGTATTAATTCTTTGAAAATTTTCTTTTCCGAAAATTATTTTCCCCTTCCGATAGGAAGTGAATTTTTTTTTATTCTAAAATTCTTGATGTGTTCATACAATTTCGATTGTATTATTTACTAGTATTTGATTTTTTTTGGAAAATTTCCATTCCAAGTATTTTTTTTTCTTTCTTTCATCGAGTATTCTTTATTCATTTACATGGTATATTTTTTAAAGACAGGAACTTTGTGCTTGAGCATTAAAAAATAATTTACGAAAATTAGTATTAAAATTGGTTAAAAAAAATATTTTTTTGTAATTTGCGAAGGTATTAAATTTTGTTTGCAAAGAAGCATAAATCGTAAAGTTCCTGTCTCTATTTTTATTTTAAATAAAAATTGCGGTAAAGTTATTTTTACCGAATTCAGGGATACAAACACCGTCTTAAAATTAAACACAATTTTTTTTTCATCTAAATAAAAAAAATGGTGTTTACTTTATGAAGACTGTCAGGAAAGTATTATACATAATGTAGATTATAATTTTTTGGTGATTTTTTAACGCACAAAGTTTAACAAAGTGAGTGAAATTCGTTTCATTCTGTATTTTCTTCTTCTTCAAAATATCAAGAAAAACATATCAGTTTACAATTATTTTTTTTTAAACACAAAAGTGTGCATTGATTTTCAAAATGAATATTATACACAAATTTCGTGATAATTGCGTCCATGATTTAGTATTAAAATATTCTATTATTATTTTTAGTTAACTTTTACATATTTCTTTTTATTTTATCAAAAAATAAACAGTATTTTTTGGGGTAAATTTTAAAAAAAATAATAAATTCAATTCACAAAGTGTTACTTAAAAAAAAACGAATGCATTTTATATGAGACCTTATATTCAAATATCTTTCTGGTAAAAAAAGTATTTACAAAACAATATTGTATTTTTATTTTCGATAGACAGTTTTTTGTCTACGAACGCTTCTTTTTTTCTATTTCTTATATAAAATTAAGAAAAGGTCTGAAAAAATTTTTATTCTTTTGCACAGTGAGATTTAGAGGATCTATTTTTTAGAAGTTCTATTCTTTAAAAATATACATTTATATTTTTATTATTATTATAATTATTATAATTTTAACTATTATTAAGTACCATGTTTATGCCATATTTTATAAATGTTTGTACTCTTTTTACGTCTAAGTCTGAAACCATATTCTGCCTTTGAATGCAATAGAGTTTTGTACCTGAATGGCAGTGATAATTGCGCAGTAAATAAGAAAAAAAAAGCAACGAAACTTTATTCTAAGGAATTTTCGCAATGAGTAAAATATAAGTTATACAATTAAATATTTCTGTGTAATTTGTTTCTCCTAATTCTTGAATTTAATTTTCAGCTTCAATTATTATTTTTTAATTATAGAAAGTGAATTTATCATTCGGCAGTTAAATATTAAGAAGAAAGAATAAAAAAAAATATAAAAAGAAAAAAAGAATATAAAGATAAAAAAAAAAATTGATTTTGTTGATTTTCTTTATTTTATAAAGAATATTCTTTGATAATTTTGAAATTATTAATTAATTTCGAAAATATTTTTCAGATTAAGCAGGTTTCTGTATTCAGGCAGCTGTGTTGTCGATACATATGAAATCTAAGAGCTTATAGAGATTTATTTAAGATATTTAATTTATTTAGTAAAAATTTGATTCGGATAATTGATAGCTTTTTTCTTCTTAATATTATTTTTTAAGTTTTAACTAAAATTTTTGTTGCTTTTTATTAAATATTTTAATATTTAGTAAAAATGATTTTTTAAAATTATTTTCTTGAAATTTTAACAAAAATTCTGACTCTAATTCAATTATTTTTAATATTTTTTGAAAAGGTTCCTTAAAAATTCAATTATTTGAAAAAAAAATTCAATTCTTGCAAAGTATTTATCAAAAAATTTGAAAATAATTCAATTAATTTTGAAGAACTTTATAAACATTTTTTTTCAATAATTGAATTCTTTCAAGAAAATATAATTAAAATTGTATTGAAAATAATTTATTTTTTGGTAAGATTTTTATTAAAATTCTTGAAAATAATTGAATTTGTTTTGAAGAATTTATTTCAATTTTCTTGAAAATAATGAAATTTTTTTTTAATGATTTTTATTGAAAATTTTGAAAGTAATTGAATTTTGTGATGATTTTCTTTCCCTTTAAAATAATCGTGTTATTAATTGTAATTAACGATTTTCATAGTAAATTATATTAAAATTATTCATAGAAAATTAAATTTTTTTTAAACAATTTTATTATAGAGTTTTTGTAAATAAATACCTACATTTTTTTGAAGAATTTCAATTAAATTTCCTAAAAATAATGTAATTTTTAAAAATAATTAAAATTTACAAAGAATTTTATTGAAAACATTTGAGAACAATTGAATTGTTTAGAAAAATTTCATTAAAAATTATTTAAAAATAATAATTGAACCTATTAGAGAAATTTTATTAAAATTATTTTGAATATAATTGAATTTCTTCCTAGAAATTTTATTAAAATTATCTTGAATATAATTGAATTTTTTCCTAAAAATTTAATTAAAATTGTATTGAAAATAATTGAATTTTTTTGAAGAATTAGTTATTTTTTACAAAAAATTGAATTTTTTGCTAAAAATTTTACAATTTATAAAGATAATTGAATTGTTTCGAAAAATTTTTTATCAGAATTGTTGAAAATAATTGAATTTTTATCAAAAATCTTGAATATAATTGAATTTAAATAATATGTTTAAAAATAATTGTATTCTTTCGAGAAATTTTTATTAAAATTGTATTGAAAATAATTGAATTTCTCCAAAACATTTTATTATTTAAAAAAATAATTGAATTTCTTTGAATAATTTTATTATTTATGAAAATAATTGAATTCCTTTGAAGAATTTTCTTATTTATAAAAATAATTGAATTCTTTCGGACGATTTTACATTTCATAAAAATAATTGAATTGTTTCGAAGAATTTTATCTGAATTTTTGAAAATAATTGAATATTTTGAAGGAATTTTATTAAAAATAATGATTTTTTTAAAAAGAATTTCATCGAAATTGTTGAAAATAATTGAATTTATATTAAAATTCTTGAAAATAATCGAATTTAATTAATATTTTTAAAAAAATAATTGTATTATAGACTATTACAGAAAAACGAATTGATATTAATGCAAAATATCGTTTTTTAAAAATTTATTTTCTAAGAAAAACGGAATTTTAATTATTTCAATGCCTCGTTTTATTTAGAATTAAAAAAAAAATTTTTAGAAATTTTGTATCACTTTATTTATTTTTTTCTTATTTAAGTTTGTATCACTTTAGTTCTAATTAGTTCAAATATTTACTGATTCAAATTTAGAGAATAAGTTTTGTGATAATATTATTGCAAAAAAAAAAATGTATAAATTATTTTATTTTTCACTATTTTATATGTGAAATTTTTTCTATTTTAACATATATAAAATTTTTATTAACATTTTTTATTAATTTTTATATTACTTTTTGTAATTTTTGTAACTTTGGATCTGAAATAATAAAATTTTTGCTTAGAATTTCATTAAAATTATTGAAAAAAATTTAATTGTTTTCAAGAATTTTAATGGAAGTTTTGTGAGAATAATTAGGATTCTTTTAAGGATTTCAATTTAAATTATATTGAAAATAAGTAAATTCTTATAATTGAATTCTTTTGACGAATTTAATTAAAATTGTATTGAAAAAATCTCGTGCGAAGAATTTTAATAAATTTTTTGAAAATTATTGAATTGCACCAAAAGTACAAGTAATATGAAGTTCAAAAGAGAAAAGAGGATTACGAATAATAACGCTGATGAATTTAATAAAAAACATTTTTTTTATTAACGATTTGACAGAAATTGTTTTTTTTAAATTGGAATATTATCAAACCTAAACTTGATTTAAATAAAACTTTACATTCTTGACTTTGTATATTCCGTTGGGAATACCAATTTATGAGATCCAGTTGCTGTTACAAATGGAAGTAATCCTGAGTTTGGAATAATGTTGTAAGTTAGAGAAAGAGTCACATTTTTGTTTCCTCTGAAAGAAGAAAAAAAGATAAAAACATTGTTATTTAAATTGTTATTTAAACGAATAAATCTCCCTAAGTGGAATTTAATATTTTTTATATAAATTTAAAATAATTTAAATCTAAAATTTAAAAATTTGAAATTTTCTTTTCTGAAAGAAAATAAAAGATAAAAAAAATTGCTATTTAAACGAATAAATCTTCTTAAGCGAAATTTTATTAAGTAAAAGTAATTAAAAATTTTATTAACCTGAGGCCATTTCCATCATCCCAGAAGTAGTATTTCATGTTCATTTTTTTCACATTGATATTCGTCTCTTCTCCACGTAAAATTATTTTATCCCACAAAACAACCTAATTGAGATGAAAAATATAAAATTATTCAAAAATATTGTTCTCATTTTGCTTAGATAAATTGATTATAATTCCCTTACTTGATTCACTGCATTTGCTTTTGTGCTGTATTCAGCAGTCAAATATAAGAATAATTGTTTAACATTCCAGTTAAACAGCTTGTTGAGATGTAATTAATTATGTAAGGAAAAAGTTAAACTGCATGAAAATAAATTATTATTTAGTGCTACTTTCTAAATTTAAAGTTACTGACAAAAAATGTTATTTTGTATTTCCCTGATTTCTAAATTCAATTAATCAAAACTCGAATCAATTTGCTAAAGAAATATTTAAATATGTACTTCTTATTCTTTTTTTCACGGGAAATAAAATTTTTAAAATTTCGACTTCTGATATTTATTAATTTCTAAAAATTACAACTATAATCCTTTCGAAATTCAATTATTTTCTACAATTTTCAACTAAACTTCATCTCTAAATTAATCCATTATCTGTATTAATGTTTAATAATTTTCTAAAAGTTCTACGAGAATTAAATTATTTCAATACGAAAATTCAATTGTTTATAATAAAATTGAAACTGTACTTTTTTCTTTTTTAAAATTATTAAGGTTGAATATTTTCAAAAGTTTTAATAAAGAAATTCTTAAAATTAATTTTTCAAAAATATTTCTAAATAAGTTTTGAAAGACAATATTTTTACAATTATACATACAATTAAAATATATTCAAAAAATTAAAAATTTATTAAAATCTTTGAAAAATAATTGATATTTGATAAATTTTTTTCAAAATAATCGAGTTTCTAAAAAATATAAAAAAAAAATTAATCAAATTTTTGAAGAATTTTAATTATAAATGATTTCTCCGACATTATTCGAAAATAGTCAAAAAAAATTGTAATATCCGAGGCCTGCTTTGGTCTGGAGTCAAAAATTTTAATAAAATTCTGATTTCGTGACCTTAAGACCTTAAATAATATTATAATTTTTTTAAAAATAATCGGCAAGTGACTTTGGTCGAAATATAATGGAATGACTCCAGTTGCAAAAGTTACTGAAACTTTGCGAACCGAGTGTGCGAAATTACCCTGAAATTTTGCAAGAAAATATTATTTAAACAAAAAATTAAATCTAAAAAGGATATCAGTTTTTATGTCGAAATTTAAAATCCCCAAGTCGTTCTTTTCTCTTGATACACTAAAATCTGGAACATTTTTTCTGAAACAAAAATAGAATTTTGTTATATAAAAAAAAAGAAACTTTAAAAATAGATACAAATCTGTGTATAAAATTCGAATTACTTTTTTCCTTACGCGTTACAATTTTAACCAGTAAAAAATAAGAATTATAAAAATAAACACATATTTTTTACTTACACAAGTACACCAGCTGTGTTCAATGCGACATTCGTTCTGTAATCGATAAAAACTGTCGACAAAAAGCAGGCAAAAGTCAGACAAGCTGAAACACTTAGAGTGTATGCTAATATAGCATTTCCCCTCGTTAAAACTGAATGCATTTTTCTTTTAATTGAAAAATAAATAAAATTATCCTCCCCGGTTAAATGGACAAAATTAGGTTAGAAAAGTTTCACTCTATCGATCTGTTTATAATTTACAATTAAAAATAAGACTAGAATTCAAGTATAAACTGTCGACTCCAAGAATGTGAAAATTATTAATTATTTATTTAAAACTAAGCTAAAAATGAAATTCTTTCTTGAGAACACAATAATGAATCTTCTGTCACAAATTTGCCACATGCCAGGTCACTAATGTTCAACACAAACATCGGAAACGTCATTATTTAGAAAACAGGGTTGGATAGTTGGAAAAAAGTTTCCCCCAGTTTAAAAGAGTTTAAAGGTGTATTCACAGTTGAAATGCAATTTTGTTTGCAAATGATACGAGCTTTATATTTTACGGTTTTACTTACGTGACTTACGTTACGTATATTCAAATCTTCATTGTAGAAATACCTTCATTGGGGTGCTACTCTCTGTACCAAAAACATAAGTTCGAATGCTCATTATGCCGAATTTACAATTTAGAAATGACCAGATACGCGAATCCTCAATAACCTAAATTGTATATTGAATGAAATTCAAAAGTAGGGAATAATCATTTGATATATTCTGCATATGGAGAATATTATTTTAAACTAATTCTTTTTTTCCACAATTTGAAATTATTGCAATTTTTATTTTTGGAATTTCCACTTTACCTACATTTTAATAGATCGAAACGTAAAATATCAGAATTGACATTTAATTGAAATATGATGGAGAATAAATATATATTCACTGAATAAAAAGATTAAATAATTATTAAATGTTTGAATTTAATAAAAACATATTGTTCAAAAGTTACAGTGCGAATTGTACAGAATATATATTAATAAGAAATATAATTTGGCAGAATGTCGATTCGATCGATTTTATATTTGCAAGAAATTCAATTTGACAGAATATCAATTTATAAGAAACACGTTTTCGTAGAACTTTAACTTGTCAGAATTGTAATTTTGTAGAATATTAATATTGGCAAATCTAATTTTGGTAGAAATCTGCTTTATCAGAATGATCACATGTTCGAATCCTCAAAAGTTAGAATTCCATTTTTACCGAAAATGGATTCCACATAAATATTTGGCGCAAATTTTAAAATCGACCAATCAGAAATCAGAATTTTAAAATTTGCGCCAAATATTTATGTGGAATCCATTTTCGGTAAAAATGGAATTCTAACTTTTGAGGATTCGAACATGTGATCATTCTGATAAAGCAGATTTCTACCAAAATTAGATTTGCCAATATTAATATTCTACAAAATTACAATTCTGACAAGTTAAAGTTCTACGAAAACGTGTTTCTTATAAATTGATATTCTGTCAAATTGAATTTCTTGCAAATATAAAATCGATCGAATCGACATTCTGCCAAATTATATTTCTTATTAATATATATTCTGTACAATTCGCACTGTAACTTTTGAACAATATGTTTTTATTAAATTCAAACATTTAATAATTATTTAATCTTTTTATTCAGTGAATATATATTTATTCTCCATCATATTTCAATTAAATGTCAATTCTGATATTTTACGTTTCGATCTATTAAAATGTAGGTAAAGTGGAAATTCCAAAAATAAAAATTGCAATAATTTCAAATTGTGGAAAAAAAGAATTAGTTTAAAATAATATTCTCCATATGCAGAATATATCAAATGATTATTCCCTACTTTTGAATTTCATTCAATATACAATTTAGGTTATTGAGGATTCGCGTATCTGGTCATTTCTAAATTGTAAATTCGGCATAATGAGCATTCGAACTTATGTTTTTGGTACAGAGGGTAGCACCCCACCTTCATTGTCATGTAAAGAACATTTCGATCCCTGATATCATTTCAGTTTATTGTTTTCGTCGTTTTCGTATCGGTTTACGTTTGTTATTTGATTCAAATCAAATTTAGTTTATTATCATTTATTATTTTCCAACTATTCAAAAAATTCCTTCTATTAATTGTCATTTTAAGTGTTTCCTTTCGTTGTCAATGTCAAGTGTTCTAATAAATAAAATACAATTATTTATCCAATCTAATCGCTTATCTTCGATTCCACAATAAAAAAAATACCTGTCGAAACGTGTTTTCCATGTCAATTGAAAAAACACAAAAAGTGTATCTTAGCTACGTTTGATCTTTACAAATATTTAACTACTATGTTAAAATAAATTCCCCTGTATAATTTTTATTTTTTTTGAAAGAAAATAATGGATAGACGAAAATATCAAAATCAGTTTAATAGGTTAGGTTTAAAACCATTAACAACAACAACAACCGGCAAAAATGATGAATTGAGTGGAAGCAGTGGAAGTGAAATTTTAAGAAAAACAAGTGCATCGTCAAGTTTTCGTCCAGTTTTGCCTTCTGGTAATAGTAAAAGAAAAGAATTGGCCGATAATGATAATAATTCCTCGCAACTTTCAATTATGTTGAGTTCGGCTTCAGCAAAAAAGAAAAGATCCGATCCATCGCAGGAAAATTTGGGAAATCATGAATTGAGTCTTAGAAATAGACCACCAAGTTCATTATCAGACACTTGTTCACAAAGTTCGAGTAAAACATCTGTAATGAGTAAATTTATGAGTATGAGTAAAAAGAATCCCGAAAAGCCGATCACTTCTTTTTCAAATTTTGCGAGTATTATAAGTGAAGATAGAAGGTAAGTTTCTCTTTTTTTATACTTTACTTTCACTTTATTCATTTTTTTCTATTATTGTATATAATAAACTTGATAATTTTTATTCTAAAATACTGTAATTACTGCAAAAAAAAAATCTCACTTTTTTCAATTTTGACACCTTTTTCCCCTTTTTTGGTGATTTATCCCCTTTTTCCAATCAAAAGTAAACAGAGTAATCACAGGTCAAGGAATTCAGGGAAAAATTAGAGATTTTTATTAAAAGAGAACTGGAAAAATTTAAATTTTTAGAATTTATAAGAAAAATTATGTACTAATGTGAAACTTTTACAACATTTAAGTACTCAGACAACGGCCACACCACGATGAAAAAACCAGTTCTCGTCAGTACCTTTCTAACTATTGAAGGGATAAGTTGTACCTTGGAGCAGGTAGAGCCAGCTCACCGATCCCAAGTTTTCAAAAATTCTAAAATACGAAATTTAAAATAACCCGCCATCACGGCGGCCCATAGGCCGAGTTTCGCGCCCGCGCGAATGATAACAGCCGATATACCGCGTAATTCAAATTCAAAAAGTGATAGTGATAAAATAAAAAATACTGACAGTGAAAAGTGGAGTAAAATCTATCATAAATCAGTGAGTGAAAATGGACCAACATTTTTCTTACAAAATACTATCATGGTGAAAAATGAAGCAATGCCAAAACCACCTAAAAAAGAATCAAAAGCAACGACACTAAAGGCGCAAAAAATAACCCCGAAGAAGACGGAGACTCAGAAACCGTATGTTAAACCAAACATTAGCCCAGATAAAAAATCATCACTTGATTCCTCTGCAAAAGATTCTCTGATAGTACCAATCAATGCAGCAAAAATGACGAATAACACGCAAATATCAAGTCAAGAATATCAGGAGATGTTTAACAACAATATAACCCAACAAAAAATTATTGATGAATTATTACAAACAATTCATCAACAATCTCAAAGAATAGAAAAATTGGAAAAAATGCAGAACAAAAACTTCAACACTGAAATGGAAACAGATGTGGGACAAATAAAATCAGCCAACGATCCAGTGACGGGTTTTCCTCAACCTCATAAAAATCAAGAAAGTGAAAAAAATGGAAATAAAAATTCCCCATCATCCTCAACCAAGGCCACTGCGACCAGCAACAATAAGCAGATCAACAACCCTCAGGACAATACATCCAATAAACCAATTTCGACCAGCAGCAGCAAGGATTCATCAGCAGGTAAACCACCACCGATCATTATCTACGGACAAGATCAGACAACAACGGTAAGCCTCATAAAAGAACATTTAAAAACAGACAAATTTCACATCAAAAGAATAAACAAAGATAAACACTCTTTATACACAGAAAACATTGTAGATTTCAAAAATGCCAAAGTACAACTCGAAGCTACGAGTTCAAAATTCTTTACCTACACAATAAAAGACGAAAAAATAAAATCCTTTCTCTTGAAAGGTTTAGATTCAAGTACAGATCCCGCGGACATACTTGAAAATCTTAAACAATTTGAATCAGAAAATATTCAATTTTTTAAAGTTACTAGATTCACAACTCCTAGATCTCAAAAAGAAAATAAAATCTTACCCTTGTTTTTAGTACAATTGACTCCAAACAGTCAGACAAACTTGCTTCATAAAATTAAATATGTTAACTACCAAACTATCAGGTGGGAAAAATTGAAAAAGAGAGATAGCATACAGTGTAAAAAGTGTCAAAGATTGGGGCACGTAGCTTCGAATTGTAACTTAGATTATAGATGCGTAAAATGCAGCGAAAATCATGAACCGGGTAATTGTAAACTACCGGAGCCCACGAATGCAATAGAAAGAGAAAAAGTATATTGTGTATCATGTAAAAAATATGGTCATCCAGCTTCTTATAGGGGATGTGAAAAACAAATAGAATTAAAACAAAGAATGCATGAGAAATTGGAAACAATTAGAAAAAATAGGATTGCAAAAGATAGAATGTACAACAATTTTACAACAAAAGAAACAAGCTTCTCAAACATCTTACAAAAAAAAAACACTTCACAACACAGAAAATAACTACCCACATATAGAACAACAAATAAACAATAAACAACATACATTAAATAATGCACAAAACCTACAAGAAACCTTAAACAACTTAACAAAACAGATACTTCAAATTACACAATTAGTAGAAAAAAATAGCAAAAGAATAGACGATTTATTTGAACTACTAACTGATTCTAATTCTGTTCAAAATGGATAGTAAATTAAATCCTAACCTAAAAAATACTATTACTGTCAAAAATTTAAAAATAATATCAATAAACGTCAATTCAATTGTAACAAATGAAAGGCGAAATAATCTTTTAAACTTCATAAAAAAACATAATCCAGATATAATTACTTTAAGTGAAACAAAACTAAATCCTATACATAAACTAGATTTCCAAAATTTCACTTTAATTAGAAGAGATAGACCAAATACAATATTAGGCGGAGGAGTTGCAATACTCATAAGAAAAGACCTTAAATTTAAACAAATAATTCTATCGGAAATAGAACAGTTTCAGAACTTAGAAACTGTTATCATAAAAATCCCTTTACCAAACAATCAAAGGCTTTTTGTCATATCTGCTTACGCTGCATACGGAAACAGATTAAATTTTAATCAAGAAATTGATAAATTATTTCAAATTCTCAATTTAGACGATCCTGACAACTTTTTTATAATGACAGGTGACTTAAATGCTAAACACACTAGTTGGTTAAATGAAAATTTCAACACAAGAGGAACTTTTTTACGAAAATGGATAGATGACAATGAAATAAATTATAAACTAAAATTATACACTCCAAGTCTCCCCTCCTTCCCCCGAGGAAATTCATATCTTGACTTAGGAATATTAGACTCCAGACTTAAGGTACAAAAATACAATAACACAGACAAACTTGAAACTTTACAATATGACAGCGATCACAACGCAATTCTATTGAATGTTTCTTACAACACACAAATAGATTTTATTTTAGAAAAAGCTACACATAACCACAATTTTAATTATAGACGAGCAAATTGGGAAAAATTTGAAAATAATTTAGACCGAATTTCTGACATTAGAATACCATCCAATAAAATCTATCAAATGATGAAATTGATAATTATTTAAAGGATATTAATGAATGTATAACAATAGCAATGAGTAACTCATTACCAAAAATTAAAAGTAAAAACTCTATGGAAATTTACCAAACACCCGTTATAAAAAGAATTCAAAAAGCAAAAAGTAAAATAATAACACAAATAAATATTATCTATAGAAATTTTCAAAATCAGAATAAAATAAGAGAATTAAACTCTCTAAAAAACAAACTAATAGCATTAAAAGCTCTCCTCAAACAAGAATTCATTAAATCCATAAATAATTATTGGTCAGAAAAAATAAAAAATATTCCTGCAAACGATCCAAAAAACATGTTTCCTCAAGTGAATAAATTATTCAGAACCAAAGGTAAAGTTGCCATACCCCAACTTAAAATTGATAATCAAAATGCAACCCTACTACTAGAGTCGGGAATACCTGCACAAAACTTACCAATTGACAACAATAACAAATACATAATTTCCAATAATAAAGATAAACTCAAAATAATCGGTACACACTTTAAAAATACACACACAAAATTTTCCAACTACGGAAGAGAAGGACTAAATAAAATCATTAAACAAAAAATTACCACTTTAGAACAAGAAATTGAAAATGATAAAATAAATAATAACTCAATAGTTAACTTTGATAATAACTTGAAAGCAAATGACATTCAGTTACTTGACGAAAAACTTCCAAATTATTTTACATCAGGATACAAATTATCAAAAATTTTTAGAAACTTAAATAATAAAAAATCATCAGGCATTGATGGAATTCCTAATATTGTATTAAAGCATTTAACACCAAAAATAATAGAGAATTATTGCATTCTTTTCAATAATATACTTAACAACAGTCATTTTCCAACTGACTGGAAAAAGTCAAAAATTATTCCTATCCCCAAGAAAGGAAAAAACAGTATACAACCGAGTGACTTTAGACCTATAAGCCTTCTTCCCAATATAAGTAAAGTTTTCGAAAAAATTGTTAAAGACCCTTTAATACAAATATGTAGAGAGAAAAACATTATCCCTGAACAACAATATGGCTTTAGACACAAGCACTCCACAATCCATGCTATTAACAAATTAACGTCAGACATTTCTCAAGCTCTTAACAATAAAAAATGTGTAGGAGCTTGTTTAATTGATCTTGAAAAGGCCTTTGACACTGTTTGGACAGATGGATTAATATTTAAGTTATTAAAAAATTCTTTCCCTAAACATCTAATAAAATTATTAAAAAATATGATAACAAACAAAAGTTTTATAGTAACGGACGGTACCACAACATTAAATAAAGAGTTCTTAGTTAAAAACGGTTTACAACAAGGAACAGTTCTATCTCCGATATTATTTAACATCTTTATTTACGAAATACTAAAAATGTATGACATAAATATAGATGAAAACAAAAAAGGTATCGCATTTGCAGACGATATGATAATATACGTCGTTGGAAAAAAAGTCTCAGAAATACAAGAAACATTACAACAACTTTTTGAAAATGTACAATATTACCTTTACACGTGGAAATTAAAAGTTAACGTCTCCAAATGCGAAACTATTTTGTTTAGAGGTCCCCTCTCCGAAGCCAATCGAAACGTAAAAAAATGCTGGAAAAACTTTCAAATAAAAGAAAGAAAAGATGATGGCGAACCAGTGCCTAATAAGAAAATTGTAAAATATTTAGGACTAAACATAGACCAAACACTCTACTTTATAAAACACATAGACACACAAATAGAACATGCAAAACAAGTTTTCAATAAATTAAGAAGATTAATGTATAGTAAACATTTAAATTATAAAATAAAAATCAACTGTTACATGTTATTCATAAGACCCATATTACTATATGCATGTCCTATTTGGTACAATTTAAGTGCATCCATTGTAGAAAGAATAAGAGTATTCGAAAGAAAATGCCTAAGAGTATGTCTAGGAAAATATAGATCAGCTGAGTCGAATTTCCAAAAATACATATCGAGTAAAGTTATTTACAACCTAGCTAATATTAATAAAATTGACACACAAATAATTAAAATAACAAGGAATTATTTTGCGAGTATAAGAAATGTAACTGACAATAGCTTAATTTATTCTATGTACTATCCAAATGACAACTATTTTGAAAACGTAATAAAAACCAATTTTGTCCCTCCAGAAGCGTTTCCTTACCTGGACAAAAATGGTTATATACAGGACACCCACGGTGCCCCAGTAATATACCATTACAAAAGAAATGCTAGGAAGAAATCGTTTCTGTACGACAAACACTTAGACACTACTATACCAAATGATGAATGGCGATATACCACTTTCATCACAAACAAGGAAATTAAAGACAAACACAGACAAAACATCAAAAAATATTTTTGGTTAGACGAATAGCTAAATTAAAATCCCATTCTTAAAATCAAAAACAAAAAATTAAATTTATAACTATTAAGATATTGTAAATAGTTATTATTCTAAGTAAAACTGTAAATAAGAATTAGAAACAATATAAATCTACCCTTATACTTCTAATTATTGTAAATATTATCCATTATGTAAAATATGTATTAACTATTAGCCAACCAATTATATTAATTGTATCTTATTAAAAGAAAATCATCGATTAACATTGTAAATATTCTTAGTTCATAAATTAGTTTAATTATTTATCTCATTTTTTTCTTATTCATTGTTATTGTTAAATTTAATTATTATAATATAGTTTATTCAGGTTATTTTCTTTCATTATTATCCATAAAATAAAAACAAAAATAGCGAAATGATCAGTTTTCTTAAGCCCTTTCTGATCGATAAAAAGCAAATTGAATATTTCTCCTGGGAATTAGAAAAAATATCTTTAATATAGAATAAAAATATTAACTAATATATGCATTCGTGGGCATAAAATATTGTACGCGACTTCGAGAGCTTTGTATTAGCCAGTAAGTCCTTTATAATAATGTAAAAATGATTTCATCGTTTATTGTGAAACCTTGTATTATTATTAATTTTGGCAATAAATAAACAATTACAAATGCAAAAAAAAAAAATGCAAACCAGTTCTCGTCCGATCACTGAAGTTAAGCATCTTTGGGCGCGGTTAGTACTTGGATGGGTGACCGCTTGGGAATACCGCGTGCTGTTGGCTTTTTTTTTTTTTTAATAAAATAATTATAATAAATAAACTTTATGAGGGAAATTAATAAATCAAATTTTACAATTTTAATTGAATTCCTCGGACGAGTTCAAATATTTTTAAATATTTCCATAAATTTCAATTATTTCACTTAAAATTTTAATAAATTCTATAATTTTAAAATTCTTTGCAGGAATTAAATTATTTTTAATCCAATTTCAAATCAAATTACACGAAAGAATTTAATTATTTTCAAAAATTTTCAAAAAATTCAATTTCAACAAGAATTTAAAATTCTCTAAAAATAATTCAATTATTCTGAAAATATTTTTAAAAAATTCTATATAAAAATTAAATTACTTTGAATGCAATTTTTAAATATATTCGTAAAAAAAAAATTGAAAGAATTCAATTATTTTAAAAAAAAATAATAAAATTCTTGTGATGAATTCAATTATTTTGAATCTTTTTAATTTTAATAAAATTCTTTAAAGAAATTCAATTATTTTCGAATCAACTTTAATTAAATTTCTCGAAAAAATTTCATTAGCAAATTTTTTGTCAAGATTTTCTGTCAGAATTCAATTATTTTGAATACATTAATTTTAAAATTGAAAATATTTGAAAAGAAAAATTATAAAAATTTTTTATGTGAATTTTACCTCTTTTATTTGCCGAGGAAAAGAAAAAAAAATATTCAGGACATTCTTTTAATCTAGAATGTTTTAAAAAAATTGTTTACTTCTTTTCGGTTTATGAAAAAAAAATTATTTTCGACGCTAATTTCAGAGATCTATAAATAAATCAAATTTTTACCTTTTTAAAAAATTTAATTTTTGCAATAATTTAGAAAATAAATTAATTTAAAAAAAATTTTTCACAATCCAGTATTCTGATTAGTAAAAATAATATATTTAATACTTTTTGTTTGCTTATTTTCAGTCAAGTTTGTCCAAAGACGCCAGTAAAGATTGCAAGTCAAAAACCTACAGTATCTTCAGTCAGTCCAAATACCTCTGAATTTGAGAGGCAATTGGCGAAAAGCGATGAAGAAATATCACCATTGAGACCCATTGAGCCAGTAATAGAAGAAAGTAATAATTCAGCGAGAAAACGATTAGCACGCGAACTCGTAACACCATCAAAGAGCGGTGGCAGTGAATCGGATAAAAGTATGTTCAGCAGTGGTTCTTCCTCGGCGAAAAAACGAGGTAGATTATCTCTAGGTTCTCCCCGTGAAAAAAATAATAAGGACAATGAGGCGAATTCAGTGAAACGGAGATTACTCGAAAACAATGATGATGACGATGATGATGACGATATCATTATTCCAATGAAAGGGGACATTTTCTCCTCCACAAGGTTTTTATTTTATTTCATTTTTTTCTAATTTTTTTCCAGTAACCAAAAACTGAAGAATTTCAATATATTTTTTTTGTTAATTCAGAAATGAAGAAGTGAACAAAGTGAGTAGTTTATTTTCGCCCGAACGACCAACGAGAAACGAAAATGAATTTCTACAACCAGGACCAGTACAATCGAAAAATAAATTTATTGCATTTTTGAACGATGCACGAGTGACATTGGTGAAGGGCGATTCACCCCATCAGATAAGTAAGAAGATTATTGTCTACTAAAATTTTCTATTGTCCACTAGAAAATTACTGTTATTTTTAAACTATAACTAAAATCGAGTAATTTTTAAATTGAGGAGCAAGTTTTCTAAACTTGATAAATCTACAGGGTAGATAATCTACCTGGCAACCTGAAAAACCTGGAAATGTCAGGGAATTTTATAAACCTTGAAAAAATTGAAAATTTTCTTTAATTCAATTTTAAAAGAGTTGCCTTCACAATTTTTCTCAGCAATAATTCAATTATTTTCATAAATAATCAAATGTTTTTTACAGAGATTCAATTATTTTCATAAATAAAAAAAAACGTTATAGATTTACAATTAATTTCATAAATAATATAACTCATCGCAGAATTTCAATTATTTTATTTATTTTTAATACAATTTTAATGAAATTTCTCGAAAAATGTAATTATTCGTAAAAATTTTCATAAAATTCATCAAAGAAAATAAGAAATTCAATTATTTTAAAAAGCCTTCCTATAATTTATTTATTAGAATTTTAAGCATTATTGTCAATATATTTTTAATTAAATTTCTTGAAAGAATTTAATTCTTTTCAAAAATTTTAATGCAATTTTTTTTTACAATTCAATTTATTTTTAAAATCATGTTAATAATATTCTTCGTAGAAATTTCATTAATTTCTATATAATTTATCAAAATTCAATTATTTTCAATATCTACTATTTCAATGAAATTTCACAAAAGAATTCAATTATTTAAAAAGAAATTTTAATAAAATTCAATTATTTTCAAAAATTCTCCTCATTTCAATTATTTTTTATTCTAAAAAAATTTTCCAAAATAAATGAATTATTTTAACAATTTTTTGATAAAATTCTAAGCAAACCTTTTATTACTTTTATAAATAACAAAATAATATTTCACAGCAATTCAATTATTTACAAATTTTTCATAAATTTCTTTGCAATAATTCCATTATTTTCAGAAAATATTCCATTTATTTTCACACAGATTGAATTATTTTTTTTAAATATTAAAGAACTTTTTTAAAAATAATTAAATAATAATAAATTTATGGAAGATGTTTATAGTTAAAAACACGAAAAAAATTCAATTTTGTAAAAGTTAGAAATTATTGCAAAAATTCAATTATTTTCAAGAGTTTTAATAAAATTCTATTTAAGAATTTAATTATTTTCAGAAAAAATTGAATTGTCAATTTACTGAAATTCTTTGAATTCTTGTAAAGTATTTATCAAAAAAATTTGAAAATAATTGAATTCATTTCAAGAATTTTATCAACATTTTTTCAAATAATTGAATTTCATTCGAGAAATTGTAATTAAAATTGAATTGAAAATAATTTATTAATTCTTGGCAAGATATTTATTAAAATTCTTTAAAATAATTGAATTTTTTATAAAGAATAAGAAAGAAAAACGAAGTCATTCAGACAAAAATTCGTTTAATGTTACTCCAACGTTTCGAAATCCATAGATTTCGTGTTTTAAAGAATTTATTTCAATTTTCTTGGAAATAAAGGAGTTTTTTTTAATAATAATTTTTACTAAAAATTTTCAAAATAATTGATTTTTAAGAAAAATTTCTTTAAACCTTTTAAAATAATCATGTTTATTATTAATTGTAATTAACGATTTTCTTATTAAATTATTTTTAAATTATTCATAGAAAATTAAATTCTTTTTAAACAATTTTATTAGTGTTTTTGTAAATAATTACATTTTTTTTTTTTTTGAAGAATTTCATTAAATATCTGAAAATAATTGAATTTCTCAGAAGAATTTTATTATTTACAAAAATAATTGAATTCTTGCCAAGAATTATACAATTTATAAAAATAATTCAATTGTTTCGAACAATTTTTTATCAGAATTGTTGAAAATAATTTAATTTTTATTAAAACTTTTGAAAATAATTGAACTTAAATAATATTTTTAAAAATAATTGTATTCTTTCGAGAAATTTTATTAAAATCATTGAATTCTTTCGAAATATTTTATTATTTATGAAAATAATTGAAGGAGGATTTTACAATTCACAAGAATAATTAAATTGCTTCGAAGGATTTTATCTGAATTTTTGAAGAAATTTTATTAAAAGTATTCTTCGCAAAAATTAAATTTTGTTTAAAAGTAATAAAATTCTTCTTAGGGATTCAATTATTTTCACAAATAATAAAACTCATTGCTGAATTTCAATTATTTTTAATACAATTTGAATCGAATTTCTCGAAAAATGTAATTATTCTTAAAAATTTTATTGAAATTCGTTGATAGAATTCTATTATTTGAAAATTTGTTGATAACGATTCTTTATTGGAATTGAATTTTAAGAAACATTAAATTATTCAACAAATTACTTATTTTTGTATTTAAATAATTGAATTGTCGTAGAATTTTCTAATTGTAATTGATTCAAATATGAATTTCAGTTAAAAAAAAGGTTTGAATTAAAAATTTTGTTAAATATAAATGTAGTTTTAAAAACCTGGAAAAATTCCGTTTTTTAACCTGGAAATCCTGAAAAAGTCAGGGAATTTGAAAAGAGCAAAAGCCTCGTAACCCTGAAGTACCAATGGCAATGAAAATTAAGCTAGTTAATAATAATTGAATTAAAGAAGAATTTTTGTAAAAATTTCTAGAAAATAATTAAATTGAAATCTTGAAAATAGTTTTTGAGAGTGTTTCTTTATGATCGGGAAATATAATTCATGACCAGAAATTTTTTTTTCATGAAAAAATCATTCACTCTGAACACGTCGATTTGTGAAGTCCTTAAAGTATATAAAATTTATGTTTATCTCTATTTCTTTAAAAAAAAAGTTTTTTCAAATTTTTTTATCAACTCTTGAAAATCAGGGAAATGTCAGGGAAATGTTAAAAGTACTAAAAAAAAATATCAAATTACTAGAATTCCTAAAACAAAATGTGGATTTTTGTATCTGAATGTTATTTTTATAAAACTCAGAAAACTTTTTCGTAAATTTTTTTTCACCTTAATAACTTTTTAATCTCAATGAATTCGATAAATTAAAAAATATTATCAGTCATATTGAATCCGCTAATTTGAATTTTTAAAAACTGAATTCTCTTTTTTTTTTTGTTAATCAGACGGAGATCCAAACGACATAAGAGCAAACATGAGAAAATTACTTGAGAAAGGATACAAGACAGAAGAGATTTCAGCGGATTGGAAAAATTTCATTGATGTTGATAATAATTTAAAGAAGGCTACTCAGGATTTAAAAGTTGTTGACGATGGACAGCCTTTTCCGAGTTGGTACAATACTTCGTTAATTAAACTCTTATTGCAAATTGCCGAAATACAAAAACCTTTTCTACATCATCTTTTGAATAGATTGAACGAAGTTGTCTTGGAAGCGTAAGTATTTTCATTAAATTAATTTCAGATAATTATTTCCCACTACTCCAATTGGTTTTGCGTTGTGGAAAATGTGATTTAATTATCGAAATTAGTGTTTAAATTTATATTTATATTTTATTAAAAATGCGAAAATAATTAGAAACCATTGAATGAATTTTTTATTTAGTTGAGTCAATTTTGATGAATATTTGAATGTTTTTTTTTTGTTTTTAATTCGTTAATTTTTTTGATAGAAATGACGCGGAAAGTGTTCCTTGGGCTTTCACAATATTACAGCAAATACGATTCTTGGAATTTATTGTGAATCCAGAGTCACTGACTGAACAAATTGAAATACTTATTGAACATACACCAATGTGGTTTCAAAAGGAATTAATTGTATTTCTACCAGATATTGTAATTGATACGCAGCATCATGCAATCTCTGAGATACTTTTAAAATTAATGGAAACTTATCCGGAATTGATAAACGTTATTCTAGATACTCTCTCAACTTTTTCTTTCGGCAAAATGCAATTCGAAGAATTAAGAAGCAAACTTATTGATATGCTCGAAACAACTGATCCCTGTAATGTGCCTGCAATTTCAAGGTATGAAACTAAAATTATTAAAAGTAATCCTCATTTTTCTATAATGCAGTGCTCGAAGTCAGTATTTTTTTTTAAAAAAAGGTCCTTAAAGTCCGTAATTTGATTAAAAAAAACAAGAAAAGTTGGTAAATTTAACGATATAATTTGGAGAATTTTGAAAAGCTTCAAATTATTGCAAAAATTCAATTATTTTCTAAACTAATAAAGTTCTATGCAAAAATTCAAGTTTATTCCAAATTTTTAAAAATTCTCATCAAAATTTCAATTATCGTTATAAATAATAAAATTCTTCTCCAAAATTAAATTATTTTCAAAAATTTTAATAAAATTCTTGAAAAATTCAATTATTTCAAAAAATAACAAAATTCTTCAAAGATATTCAATTATTTTTATAAATAGTAAAATTCTTTGCAAAAATTCAATTATTTTTAATACAATTTTAATAAAATTTCATGAAAGAATTCAATTTAAAAAAAAAATTGATAATAACATTTTTCGAAAGAATGCAATTATTTTCTAAAATTTTAATAAATCCTTCGAAGCAATTCAATTATTTTTATAAGTAGTAAAAATTAAATTATTTTTCATAAATAATAAAATTCTTCTCAGGAACAAATTATTTTCAATACAATTATTAAAAATAATTAAAATTCGATTGTATTCAATAAATTAAAGAAATTTTTTGAAAGACTTCAATTATTTTCTAAAAATTTTAATAAAATCCAAGAATTAAATGTTTAATTTAAATTATTAAAAAACCCGTTTATTATACAATACTTGAAAGAAATTGTTCTTATAAAATTCAATTACTTTGGAAATTTTCAATTAAAATTAGGTAGGTATTATAAAATTTTCGAAAAAAATAAATTATTTAAAATGATTTTTATAAAATTTTTCGCTAGAATTCAATTATTTAAAAAAGAAATTAATAAAGTTTTTCGTAAGAATTCAATTATTTTTTAAAATTTTAATAAAATTCGTTGCGAGAATTCAATTTTTCAATTCAATTTTTAAAAGTTTTAGTAAAATTATTCATATCAATATTCAATTATTTTTAAAAAACTTTGATAAAATTCTCGTCAAAATTTCAATTATTTTCAAAAAGTTCGCTCAATTCAATTATTTTCAATATCTTTTATTATTTTAATAAAAATTTCCAAAAGAATTCAATTATTTTACAATTTTAATAAAATTCTGCGCAAACATTTAAACTTATTTCCATAAAATAATAAAAATTTCACAGAAATTCAATTATTTACCAATTTTTTATCTTAATTGCATTATTGTCATAAATAATAAAACTTTTTTACAAAGATTCAATTATTTTCAAAAAATAAAGTTTTCTACAAGAATTCAATTATTTTATTTATTTTATATTCAATTATTTTCATAATATTTATTATATTTCAAAAAAAAAAAAATTATTTAAAAGAATGTTTGTGAAATTCTCATGAAGAATACAATTATTTTTAAAAATAACAAAATTTTTCACAATAATTCAATTATTTTCATAAATAATAAAATTATTCTCACAGGAATTTAATTATTTTGGAAAATTTTAATTAAAATTCTTAACAAACTATTCAATTATTTTTAATACAATTTTACAGGAATTACACAAAAAATGTAATTATTCCTAAAAATTTAATTTCAATTCTTCGAAAAAATCAATTATTTTAAAAAAAATGTTTTTTGTAAAATTCTTTGGATAATTAAAATAATTTAAATTTCTTTGTATTTTTAATACCTACAATTTAAATTAAATTTTTTTGAAATAATTCAATTATTCTTTTAGATTTCAATAAAATAAAAATAAAAAAATAAATAATTTAATAAAATAAATTCTTCCTTAGAATTCAATTATTTACATAAATAATTCTTCGAAAGAATGTCGATAAATAACATAATTATTCCCGAAAATTCAATTATTTTGAAGCATTTTAATAAAAATCTTTGCAAAATTAAATTATTTTCATAAATAACAATGTTCATCACAAGAATGCAATTATTTTTAAAAGTAATAAATTTCTTCTTGGAAATTCAATTATTTTTAAAAAATCTAATAAAATCGTTCGCAAGAATTAAATTATTGCATCAAAAATTTGAATTGAATTCTTTGTAAAATTTAATTACTTATAAAAACTTTTCGCTGTTCAATGATTTTCAATATCAACTATTTTCATAAAATTTTCAAATAGAATTCGATTATTTAAAAAAATTTTTGTAAAAATTGAATTCTTTTCACATGAATAATAAAAATTTCTAAGGAATTCAATTTTTTAAATTAGAATTTGCATAAAAATAAGTCGAAAGAAATGAATTATTTAAAATTTTTTATAAAATTCTTCGCAAGAATTAAATTATTTTTATAGGGGAGAGGGCCCTAAGGTGGTCACCCATCTTTTGAACGACTGTAGATTTCAAATGGAATTATATATAAAGGTCAATAATACGGCATTTGAAACTTTATCTTATTACCTAACTTCCTATCATAAAGTTTTTTTCATTTCATTAATAAAAAAAAGTTATGGCACTTTTTAAAAAAAGTTGAAAATTCGACTTTTAAAAAAAGTGGCCCCAAGGTGGTCACCATACAAAAATTCACTAAAAAAGTTTTTAAAAAATGTAAAAAACGTATTACTAAGTTGTTTATTTAATATTAATTGTTTTTCAGGATCACAGAAACATATTACATATTTTTTTTGCACTTTGTCCTTTCGTCAAAAATGATACTTTTTGTGTATGTATTAGATAGGTAAAATTTTGAAAATAATTCTATTTCATTATTATTCATCATAAAACTTAAAAATTGATAATATTCACATTCACAGTGATAAATGTTGATAAATATGGCGTATAAACACATTTTCATAAAAAATCAAAAGTGACCACCTTATGGCCAAAAAAGTGACCACCTTGGGGCCCTCTCACCTAAATATTTAAATTCTTTGATTTATAATAAAATTCTTGGCAGTAATTCAATTTATAATCAGGATAAGAATGAAATAAATATTTTTGATGAAAATTAGGAAAAAGTGAGAAAAATAAAAAATATGGAATGGAATTTTTTTTTCTGTTTTGTCAAGTGTCTAAAATAAGTTTTTTTGGTCGTCAAGTTTAATTTTTCGATAGCTACTTTTTTATTACTTTTTTTAGTTTGAAAGCTACATTTTTGCTATTTTTTAAAAATTAATTATCGAGTGCGAAGTCTGAATTTGAAATGATGAAAATAATTTTAAAGAAGTTACAGTAACAATATTATTGTAATATAAAATTAAATAAATAAATTAAGTTACAAAAATATATAAATTGGCAGCGGTTTTATTTATTTATTTATTTATTGTTTTAGATTTATTTTGCGCAATTGTAACGAGGAAAGACCGGCGGAAGAATTCTTTAGAACATTGCGTCTAGTTCATTTGGAGCCATTGCCGAATACAAAACTCGAGGAATGTTATGCGAATCAAATAGCGGTAGTTCAAATAATTTCGCAAGCTATGAAGGCATTTAAGAAGGTCGTCAATGCGACTGCAAATGTTCTCAAGACAATTGTTAAGGCAAATTCAATGGATATTATTTATTTGCTCTCCTTCTTTGCATCTCGTGATTCAAATCACAAAATTGCTGACGCATATCTCAAACGGAATATTCGAAATGGAAATTTTAGATTGAGTTTGTTTCAAACATTCTACAGAGAATATATCGAGGTGAGCGATCAATCAAATTTATTTAATCTCTTATAATTTTTTGTCTTGCCCAAGTATTCGATTTATTGTAATTACAATGCAAATTACAAAATTTCTTATTTTCAAAATCTAATTATAGGCTGCACGTGAATTACAATCAAGTGCTTTGGAATCAGCGAGTAATCTTGTAAAATCCAACGATCAACTCTACACAGAACTTGGTATTGAATGGTTCGTTTTGATTTTCATGAGTCAAAATGAAATCTACAAACAAAGACAAGTATTGGATAAAATTTTACAACTCGTTGGCTATGATAATTCCACGGCAAATAAGGCCTTTACAATTCTCAGTAAAATGATTGCCGATGATGATAGAAGAAAACAACTTCACTCTCATTGTAATACATTAAAAATTCTATTGGAAAAAGTTGATAATTTAGATTTAGAGAGTGTCGCAATTTTAAATGACGTCCTTCATGGTCTCTGCATTCAATCGAGTTCCATTTCTGAAACGTTGTACGATGATATGACAATTTTGATGTCGAAGCAAATTGCAAGTTCGAAACCAATGTAAGTTTTTTATTTACTGAAAGATTCTCTCTCAAGAGACAATTGTTCATTTTTTCTAATGATTTTCTCTTTTTAGAACAAAATGCAAAGGTGTCTTAAGTGCTTGCATGGCGATCAAGCATTTAGCGAGTAAAGAAGAAAAATACAAGGATGCATTAGATCTTTTTGGTAAGTTCTCGTTTTTTGGTGAAAGTTAAGAAATTTTATCAAAAGTATACAGGGTTGCCACGCCACCTGGAAACCTGGAAAAGTCAGGGAATTTTGATCGAAATCCTGGAAAATTGTTGTTTTCTAAAGTTTATTCTTGAAATCAAATTTCACTTAAATATTTCAAAATTAATTCAATTTTAAAAGAATTGCGTTTACAATTTTCATAAGTAGATCAACTTTAAAAGAATTTGATTTAAAATTTTATAAAATTTCCATTTTAAATGAATTTAAAAATATTAAAAAACTTAGATTTAAAAAAATAATTGCAGAAATTCAATTATTTCCAAAAGTAGTAAAATGCTTCTAGAAATTCAATTATTTACAAATTATTTTCATATATTATTCAATTATTTTCATGAATAACATTTTTCACAGGGATTCAATTATCTTCATGAATAAAAACATTTTTTACAGGGATTCAATTATTTTCATAAATAATAACATTTTTTACAGGGATTCAATAATTTTCATAAATAATAAAACTCGATGCTGAATTTCAATTATCTCGAAAAATGTAATTATTCGTAAAAATTTTATTAAAATTCATCAAAGAAATTCAATTATTTTAAAAAGTCTTCCTATAATTTATTTATTAGAATTTAGGTATTATTGTCAATATATTTTTAATTAAATTTCTTGAAAGAATTCAATTATTTTCAAAAATTTTAATGAAATTCTTTTTCAAAATTCAATTTATTTTCAAAATAATTTTAATAAAATTCTTCGTAGAAATTTCATTAATTGTTATATAATTTATCAAAATTCAATTATTTTCAATATCTACTATATCAATAAAATTTCACAAAAGAATTCAGTTATTTAAAAAGAAATTTTAATAAAATTCGTCTGAAGAATTCAATTATTTTCAAAAGTAATAAAATTCTTCGCAAAAATTTAATTATGGTCACAAAAGTTTGAAAAAATTATCGTCAAAATTTCAATTATCTTTATAAATATTAAAATTTTTCTCCAACATTCAATTATTTTCAAAAATTTTAATAAAATTTTTCTCTAAAATTCAATTATTTTCAAAAATTCTTCTCCATTCAATGATTTTCAATATCTACTATTTGAAAAAAAAATTTCCAAAAGAAATGAATTATTTTAAAATTTTTTTTGAACAAATTCTAAGCAAACCTTTTATTATTTTTGTAAATAACAAATATTTTACAGCAATTGAATTATTTACAAATTTTTTATAAATTTCTTTGCAATAATTCCATTATTTTCAAAAATATTCAATTTATTTTCACAGAGATTCAATTTTTTTTATAAATATTAAAGAACTTTTTTAAAAATTATTATAAAAATAATAAATTTATAGAAGATGTTTAGTTAAAAACACGAAAAAAAAATTCAATTTTGTAAAAGTTAGAAATTATTGCAAAAATTCAATTATTTTCAAGAGTTTTAATAAAATTCTATTTAAGAATTTAATTATTTTCAGAAATAATTGAATTGTCAATTTACTGAAATTCTTTGAATTTTCGTAAAGTATTTATCAAAAAATTTGAAAATAATTGAATTCATTTCGAGAATTTTATCAACATTTTTTCAAATAATTAAATTTTTTTCGAGAAATTGTAATTGAAATTGTATTGAAAATAATTTAATTCTTAGCAAGATTTTTATTAAAATTCTTTAAAATAATTGAATTGTTTTAAGGAATAAGAAAGAAATACGAAGAAATTCAGACAAAAATTCGTTTAATGTTACTCCAACGTTTCGAAATCCACAGATTTCGTGTTTTAAAGAATTTATTTCAATTTTCTTGGAAATAAAGGAGTTTTTTTTTAATAATAATTTTTACTGAAAATTTTGAAAATAATTGAATTTTAAGAAGAATTTCTTTAAAGTTTTTAAAATAATCATGTTTATTATTAATTGTAATTAACGATTTTCCTATTAAATTATTTTTAAATTATTCATAGAAAATTAAATTCTTTTTAAACAATTTTATTAGTGTTTCTGTAAATAATTACATTTTTTTTAGAAGAATTTCATTAAATATCTGAAAATAATTGAATTTTTTAGAAAAATTTTAATATTTACAAAAATAATTGAATTCTTGCCAAGAATTTTACAATAATTTATAAAAATAATTCAATTGTTTCGAACAATTTTTCATTAGAATTGTTGAAAATAATTTAATTTTTATTAAAACTTTTGAAAGTAATTGAACTTAAATAACATTTTTAAAAATAATTGTATTCTTTCGAGAAATTTTATTAAAATCATATTGAAAATAATTGAATTCCTCCGAAATATTTTATTATTTATTAAAATAATTGAAGGAGGATTTTACAATTCACAAGAGTAATTAAATTCCTTCGAAGGATGTTATCTGAATTTTTGAAGAAATTTTATTAAAAGTTTTGAAAATAATAATTTTTTTAAAAAAAATTTTATAAAAGTTGTTGAAAATAATTGAATTTCTCTAGAGAATTTTATTATTTATATGTGACAATAATGAAATTCTTGCGAAAAACTTTATTAAAATTGTTGAATAATAATAATAATTGAAGAATATTTAATATTATGTTCTTAATAAGTGAATTCTTTAATAATTTAATAACTACTTAATTATTATTATTATTCTATTGGAAAAATTTTATAAAAATTCGTTGATAGAATTGAATTATTTGAAAATTTGTTGATAACGATTCTTTATGGGAATTAAATTTTAAGAAACATTCAATTATTTTAATAAATTACTTATTTTTGTATTTAAATAATTGAATTGTCGTAGAATTTTCTAATTATAATTGATTCAAATATGAATTTTAGTTAAAATTGTTGATAATTGAATTTCGATCTTTGAATGTTTGGATTTTTCATACTTTTCACTAAAAGTTGTGTAGATTTAATTTTTTTGAAAAAGTTCATTTGAATTTTTTTAAAATTATTTGAAGTTTTTATTTTCTAATATTTGATTGAAGAATTTCCGAATAATCGATGAAATTTCGTAAAATTGAATTGTAAACAAAAGGATTTGAAAATGTTGAAAGAAATGTTTTAAAAATTATTAATAATAATTAATAATAATTAATTTAAAGAAGAATATTAGTTAAAAATTTTGGAAAACAATAATTGAATTAAAATGATAAAAGTAATTTTGAATAAGTTACAGTAACAATATTCTCATAATATAAAATTATGATTTTATCACTCGGTCATCTTGAATTATTATAAAACATGAAGATATTGATCACATGGAGTTATCGATATTTGCATGTTTTATAACAATTTTTTATAAGATGTTAATAATTGTAATAATTATAATTATTTAATTAATAATTTTACTATTAAAGTTTTATTAAAATTATTGATAAAAAATTAAACTCTTTTAAACAATTTTATTAAAGTTTTTGTGAATAATTAAATTCTTTTGAAGAATTTCTTTAAGTTTTTTTGAAAATACATAATGTAGTTTTTTTTTGATAATTTTACTTGAAAATTTTTAAAATAATTTAATTAAACAAAGAAGTTTCATCAACTTTTTAAAATAATCATGTCTGTCAATAATTATAATAATTAAAAAATTTGATTTTTGAAGTTTATTAAAATTCTGTTAAAAAAAATTGAATTCCTAGGAAGAATTTTATTATTTATAAAAAATAATTTAATTTTTGCAAAAAATTTTACTATATTTATGAAAATAATTGAATTCTTGCGAAGAATCTTAAATAAAAATTTTTGAAATTAATAAACAAGAATAATTAATTAGTAAATTAGTTAATAGTTGAATTTTTTTTTTAATTTGAATTGGAAATTATTCAAAAATTCATATTTGAAAATAAAAAATTTTGCAATTTGCATAATAAAAATAATTAAATGATTATTTTGTTAGTAAAATATTTATTATTTTAATTTTAATAGAAAAAGTGAAATTGGGGGTGAACTTATGCTTGAGATCACAAGCTTTGTTCTACGATCGGATGAGTATGATCGTGGCAGAGACTGAAAATATTGACCACCGTTTTCTCCAACATATCTGGGAACGTTTTGAAGAAGCTTTTGTCCAATATATTGATTTTCATCCGTCACAGAAGTTTGTAATTTTTAAATCCTAACAAAGAAATGAGGCATTCTAATTTAAAACATTCCACCAATAAAAGACGATCGTTTTTTCAGTTTCTTTCATTTTTAATGAATCACTTTTTAAGTGAATTTTATAGTATAAAAATCAAATTTATTAGTAATATTTTATACACTAATTCGAAAGAAAGTTAAATAAACTTTACATAATTATCTTTTTATTTTTCAAAATTTCTTTTAATTTCGTAGAGAAATTCGTGTTTGAAATGTAAAACTCTTAATTGTCTGTTGCGAATGCGATCGTCTTTTATAGGTGGAATGGTTTGAAATAGAATGCCCTAAAATATAAATTACTTTTAAAAATATTTTTAAAAAAATTTTTTTCTTAATGTTGACAGAAATGACATGAAAGTGGAATATGGATTAAATCCTCTAATTGAAAATGAGAGAGAAATTATACTTTACTTTGGTGAGGGGAAATTTGGTGGTATCGTGCCAATTTTGTTTCGATTGTTAAGAATGTGTAATGCAAGACTCTCTCAGAATATCGATAATCTTGAAGATATTAATGCACTTTTGGGTGCTCCGATACTGGTACCGATAAATCTCAAAGAGCCTGAAGCAAGAAATTTGGATTATATGCTGTACTGTATTAATTGGTGAGTAGATTTAATTCTCTAATTTAATTGAAAAAGAAAGAAAAGTTCGTAAATTGTACAAGAATAATTTGGAGAATTTTCGAGAAGGTATAAATGATTACAGAAATTCAATTATTTTCAAAAGTAATAAAATTCTTCGCAAATATTCAATTATGTTAAAAATTTTTTTTAAATTCTCTTCAAAATTTCAATTATTTTTAAAAATAATAAAATTCTTCTTCAAAATTCGATTATTTTCAAAAATTTAAACCATAAATTCTTTACAAAATTTCAATTATTATCAGAAATTTTCCTCAATTCAATGATTTTCAATATTTACTAATTTAATAAAATTTTTGAACAGAATTCAATTATTTAAAAAAAAAATTGTAATAAAATTCTACGCAAAAATTATTTTCATAAATAATAGAATTTTCACAGGAATATAATTATTTCAAAACACAATTTTCATAAGATTTTTCGGCAAAAATTAATTATTTAAAATGATTTTTATAAAATTCTTCGCTGGAATTCAATTATTTAAAAAAAAATTAATAAACTTCTTTTGTAAGAATTCAATTATTTTTGAAAATTTTTTGAAAATTAATAAATAATAACGTGTTTTGAAAGAATTCAATTATTTGTATAATTAGTTAAAATTTCTCCGAGGAATTCAATTATTTTCATAAATAATAAAATGTTTCGGAGGAATTCAATTATTTTTAGTACAATTGTAATAAAATTTTTGGAAAGAATACAACTATTTTTAAAAATATTATTTAAATTCAATTATTTTTAAACGTTTTATCAACATTTTTCAATTGAACACAATTTTTTTTAATTTTTAATAAAATTTAATAAAATTCTTCATTAAATTATTTATTTTTGTATTTAAATTTTTAAATTCTTATAAGATTTTCTAATAAAAATTAAGTAAAGTCCATATTTTTAAATTAAGTGAAAATAAACGTTGTATTCCGGTAATTTGTTCGCAGTTTGAAATTAGTTGTTTGCTTTTTTGTTTCTTAACTTTTTTATAATTTTTCTTTTCAAATATTTTTAATTTTAAAATTAATGTGCCTATTAAAAATAATTGAATTCTGACAAAGAATCTTAACAACAAATTAGAAGAAAATAATTGAATTCCTTCGAAAAATTTTTTTTAGTTATAAAAATAATTGAATTCTTTCGAAAAATTTTTTTTAGTTATAAAAATAATTGAATTCCTTCGAAAAAATTTTTTTAGTTCTAAAAATAATTGAATTATTGCAAAGAATTTTATTAAAATTTTTAAAAATCATAATTAAATACTTTTGAAGAATTAAAAAAAATTTTTTTAAATAATGTAGATTCTTTAACAATTTTAATTGAAAATTTTGAAAGCAATTGAATTTTAATATTTTATGAAGGAGAATTTTATTATTTACAAAAATAATTTAATTCTTGCGAAGAATTTTACTATATTTATAAAAATAATTGAATTCCGATGAATTTATATTGAAATTTTAGGAAATAAATGAAACTAATATAAATATTTAAAAATAATTAAATTCATTCGTGTAATTTTCATTACATTGGATTAAAAATAATTTAATACCTGCAAAGAATTTTAGTATTTAATAAAATTAGTTGAATTGTTTCGTAGAATTTATGAAAATTTTAGAAAAAATAATTGAATTTTATGAAAATATTTAAATTCTTCCGAGGAATTCAATTAAAATTGTTTTAAAAATAATTCAATTCCTGCAAAAAATTTTACTATTTATGAAAATAATTGAATATTATTTCGAAGGATTTATTAAAGATTTTAGAAAATAATTGAATTCTTTTGAAACATTTTATGACGAATTAAGAAAAAAATTAAATTCTTTCGTGAAATTTTATTGAAAATAATTGAATTATTTAGAAGGATTTATTAAAATTTTAGAAAACATTTAAATTCTTTTATCAAATTTTATTAAAATTTTGTTAGAAATAATTGAATTTTTGAAAAAATTTTTACTATATTTACAAAAATAATTTTTCTAATAAAACTCATCTTCTTTTAACTTTCCTCTTGTTTTCAGGTTTAGAGAAGTAATAAGTGGTTTCGTAAAAGACTCGGATTCCCGAATGCAGAGAAGAGTACTGAAGCGACTTGACGATTTGATGAAATTGCAGGGCGATTTTCAAATGGCACTGTCAATGATCGACTTCCATTATGAACCACCTCAGGCATATTTTCATTATTTTCCCGTTAAGCCGTTTGTTAAAATTGAGAAGAAAACATCGAAAAAAGGAAAGAAGGGAGCCGCTGATAAATCACATATGCTCACGAATCCTGACTGGGAAACTTTTGATTTAGGCTCACTTCTAGTATCGAAAAACCCTACCTACTTCCGCAAATTGGACATAAAGGTTTAATTTTAATTTAAATTAATTAATTTAATTAAATTTAATTTTTCAAATTTTAATTTATATCTTTTTGAAAAAAAAATCCATCAGATAAATGTATCAAAAGACATTTTTTTAAGAGTTTTTTTCCATTAATTTTATTATAATAAAGAAAAAATTATTTTTAAAGTAAATTAGAATATTTTTGGGGATCAGAGAGGAAGGTAAAGTTCTGTCTGGAAATTAGGGAAAAATAAAATCAAATTTTTTTGTGAGAAACTTGATTATATGTTGAATATTAAAATTTTTTTTTCCTAAAATTTTAGGTGGTACATCTTTTGAATCTAAAAATGGGAATGGCCTTAACCCAAACGTCAAATGAAGCTGTGTCAATTGCTCAGGTTTGCTTTGTTGTGAAAGAATTTTTGGGAATGCTCGAGAATAACGACTCGGAATTATTAATACGTGATTTAATTAATTTATTGCCTGAAATTTGCAATAAATTACAAGATATTGCGAATGAAGTTAAGGAAAATGAAATTGATGATTGTCAAATGAGAGAAGCTCTCGTTCTTCTCTTACAATTGGTAAATCAAATCTTCAGCTGGAAGGAATTGTATAATAGTGCAAAGTATGAAGGTCTTCTTAAAGGTAAATTTGTTTTTAAATTATATAAAGGAAATGAACTAAACTAGAATTTCCACAGGTCAGGGAAATCAGGGAAATGTCTGGGAATTTTATAAAAGTACTGGAAAAAATTGAATTTTTGAGAACTTATAAATGATTGCAGAAATTCAATTATTTTCAAAAGTAGGTAATAAAATTCTTCGCAGTTCTTCTCGTTAAAATTTCAATTATATTTAAAAATAATAATTTTAACTCTTCTCCAAAATTCAATTATTTTTGAAAAATTTTAATAAAATTCTTGGGAAAATTTAAATTATTTTCAAAAATTTTTCTCAGTTCAAAGATTTTTCATATCTAGGTACAAAATAAAAATAAATATTTTATTTTAATAAAATTTTTCAAAAGAATTCAATTGTTTAAAAAAATTGTTGATAAAATTCTAAGCAAACATTAAATTATTTTATAAAAGTAGTAAAAATTTCACAGGAATTCAATTATTTACAATTTTTTTTTATAAATTTCTTCGCAATAATTCAATTATTTGCATAAATGATATAAAATTTTTCACAGAGATTCAATTATTTTCATGAATAATAAAACTCATCATAGAATATCAATTAGTTTTAATACAATTTTAATCGAATTTCTCGAAAAGTTTAATTATTATTGAAAATTTTATTAAAACTCATTGAAAAAAATCAATTATTTAGAAATTTGATGATAAAATTCTTTATAAGAATTCAATTTTGAGAAACTTTCATTCATTCAATGAATTATTTTTCATTTCTTCTTTTCAATTCAATTCAATTATTAAAATACTTGAATTCTCATGGAATATTTTAATAAAAAGTGGATTTTAAAAATGAATTTCAGTTAAAATTTTAGATAATAATTGAATATAAAAAACATTATAGCTTGAATTTTTAAAAATAATTGAATTTTGAAACGGTTTCAAATCCAAATCTTTGAAAATCTGGATTTTTCATATTTTTAACTGACAATTCTGAATAAAATTAATTTTTTTAAAATGGTTTAATTGAATTTTGTTTTTTGAAATTATTTCAAGTTTTTATTTTCTAAATAGTTAATTAAAGAATTTCCGAATAATCAAAATTTCATTAAATTGAATGGATTTGAAAATTCGCGAGGAATTATTGAAAAAATTTTAAAAAATAATTGATAATTGAATTCTTTCGAAGAATAGTATTAAAATTTTTGAAAATAATTACATTTTTCGAAGAACTTACTTAAAATTGTATTAAAATAATTGAAAACCGGTCAAGAATTTTATTATTTAGGAGAATAATTCAATTCTTTCAACGAACTTTTATTACATTTTCTTTAAATAATTTAAATCCTATAAAGAATTCTTGCAACGAATTTTATTAAATTTTTTTAAATAATTGAAATTCTGTAAAGAATTTTATTGTTTATGAAAATAATTCAATTCTTGCAGCGAACTTTAATTACATTTTTTTTAAATAATTGAAATCCTGTAATGAATTTTACTATTTATGAAAATAATTCAATTCTTGCAACGAATTTTATTAAATTTTTTTTTAAATAATTGAAATCCTATAAAGAATCTTATTATTTATGAAAATAATTAAATTCTTTCAACTAATTTTATTACATTTTTTTTAAATAATTGAAATCCTGGGAAGAATTTTACTATTTATGAAAATGATTCAATTCTTGCAACGAATTTTATTAAATTTCTTTTTAAAGAATTAAAATCCTATAAAGAATTTTATTATTTATGAAAATAATTGAATTCTTTTGAGGAATTTCATTAAAATAGTAAATTTTTAAAATATTTAAATTTTAACGAAAAATTTCATTATTTGTGAAATGTAATTAAATTCTTGCAAAAAATGTTTGAAAATAATTACATTTTTTTATATTTAAACAATTGAATTTTCGTAGAATTTTCAAATAAAAATTGATTTAAAAATGAATTTTAGTTCAAATTTTAGATACTAATTGAACATTAAAAACATTATAGCAGGAATTTTCAAAAATAATTGAATTTTGAAAAGGTTTTAAATTAAATTCTTCGAAAATATGAATATTTCATAACTTTAACTGACAATTCTTTAGGATTTTTTTTTTTTTTTGAAAAAGTTATAATTGGATTTTTTTTTAATTTATTCCATTTTTTTATTTTCTAAACATTAAATTGAAGAATTTCTGAATAATTGAAATCTTGTAAAATTGACAATGAACTTTTGCAAAAAGTATTAAAAATAATTGATAATTGAATTCTTTCGAAGAATTTTAATAATATTTTTGAAAATAATTAGATTTTTCGAAGAATTTACTGAAAATTGTATTAAAAATAATTGAAATACTGTGAAGAATTTTATTATTTAGAAGAATAATTGAAAATCTTGCAACGAATGTTTATTAACATTTTTTTTAAATAATTGAATTCTTTTGAGAAATTTCATTAAAATAGTAGATTTTGAAAAATTTTGAATTTCATCGATGAATTTCATTATTTTGTAAAATGAATTCTTGCAAAATATTTTTTGATAATAATTAAATACTTTTTTCGAGCAATTCATTATAAATTGTATTAAAAATAATTGAAATCCTATGAAAAATTTTATTATTTATGAAAATAATTGAATTCTTACAACGAATTTTATTACATATTTTTTTAAATAATTGAATTCATGTGAAAAATTTTAAAGTAAAAATAATTTAATTCTTCGGAAGGATTTTATTAAAATTTTTGTAAATAATGTATTTTTTTTAAAACTTTATAGGAATTTAAATTATTATAAGTTGTTGAATTTCATAAAGGTTTGCATTTGAAATTTTTTGATAATCTTAATTCCTATGGGATAATAATAATAATGATTAAATATTTATTTTAAAAAGAATTTATTGATAATAAGAAAGAAAAATGAAGACCAGACAAAGATTGCTGTTTTTTTTTTTTTTGACGTTTTTGAATAATTTTACAATTAAAGTAATTCGTAAATATAAATTTAATAGAACTGTTTTTTGAGTATCTAATAATTTTTAGAGCAAATCAGAATATTCTTTAGGGGCAGGACAAAATTGAAAATTTTGTCTGTAAATCAGGAAAAAACAAAATTAATTTCTTGTGGCAATATTCTGTAAATGGAAACCTAAAAATAAAAATTTAATTCCAGAGGGTCTTAGTACAATTGCGATGAAGACAAGAGGGATGAATCTAACTCAAGTTTCAATGAAGGATCTTGTTGCTGAAGCTTATAGATTTTTCGAGCAAATGTGCAACATTGCTGAAGGTAGATCAATTATCCTCGCTTGCAGCATTGTCAACATTTGTGGAACCATAATGAAACACGCAAAAGTTTTCGAAAATGAGAACAAGGAGGCACATGGTAATATTACATAGTCAGCAGTCAATAATTTTTTTACTCCCCACAAATTTTTCTTTTTTAATAATTGATTATTTATTTTCGATTTATAGCTACAATGGCATACGATTTTCTACGATCGAAAAATTGGTTGGACAAACAATCGGGAAGTTTGTATCGAAATGCAGTTGCAGGACTATTAAAAACTTGGATTGATAATGAACCATCGCCTTTGAATAAGGTCGCAGAACTTGTTGAGTGGGTAAGGGACGATGTTGAAGTATTGGAAAAGGCGTCCGATTGCTTGAGAAATTTATCGTCTATTAATAAAAGTAATTTTCCACTTTTATTCAAAAAAATTCTCGAAGGTCTTATCAAGGGAATTAAAAATGATTTGCGATCATTTAAAACCAATGAGCCGTAAGTTTTATGAAATTAACTGATAACTATAATTTAAAAAAAAATTATTTTAAATCGAACTTGTCCGTTTTTTTTTAAGTTAATGGATAAACGAATTGTGCACTTTCTCAATTTTGCTCTAAACTCAATGATTTTTTTTTTTTCATTTTAAAGCCGAATTTATGTAAATTACAAAATACAAAATTTATTTGCATAAAATAATAACATTCTTCTTAAGAATTCAATTATTTTTATAAATATAGTAAAATTTTTTGCAAAAATTCAATTATTTCTAAACAAAATTATAATTAAATCCTTCAAAATAATTCAATTGTTTTTCTAAATAATAAAATCTTTGCAAAAATTTAATTTTTGTTCTTAATTCGTTGTAAGAATTCAATTATTTTCATAAATAATAAAATTGTTGAGTAGGATTTCAATTATTTTTAATACAATTTAAAATAAATTGCTCGAAAAAAGTATTTTTAATTATTTTCAAAAAATATTTTGCAAGAATTCATTTTACAAATAATGAAATTCTTCGCTGAAATTCAAATTTTTTCAAAATCTACTATTTTAATAAAATTTATCAAAACAATTCAATTATTTAAAAAAAATGTTAATAAAAATTCGTTGCAAGATTTTCAATTATTTTCATAAATAATAAAATTCATCACAGTATTTCAATTATTTTTAATACAATTTTAAGTAAATTCTTCGAAAAATGTAATTATTTTCAAAAATATTATTAAAATTCTTCGAAAGAATACAATTATCAATTATTTTTAATACTTTTTGCAAAAGTTCATTGTCAATTTTACAAAATTTCAATTATTCAAAAATTTTTCAATTAAATGTTTAGAAAATAAAAAAATGAAATAAATTTAAAAAAATGAAATTATAACTTTTTCAAAAAAAAAAAAAATTCAAGCTATAATGTTTTTTTATATTCAATTATTATCTAAAATTTTAACTGAAATTCATTTTTCAATCCACTTTTTATTAAAAAATTCCATGAGAATTTATGTATTTTAATAATTGAATTAAATTGAAAAGAATAAATAAAAAATAATTTATTGAATAAATGAACGTTTCTCAAAATTGAATTCTTATAAAGAATTTTATCATCAAATTTTTAAATAATTGATTTTTTTCGATGAATTTTAATAAAATTTTCAATAATATAATTACATTATTCGAGAAATTCGATTAAAATTGTATTAAAAATAATTGATATTCTATGATGAGTTTTATTATTCATGAAAATAATTGAATCTCTGTGAAAAATTTTATTATTTATTATTAGCAAACAAGATTATTTTAAAAACTTGAAAGAAATTTGTTCATAAAATTCAATTATTTTCAAATTTTTTAATTAAAATTATTAGTGAAACTCCAGTATTTAAAAAAAAATTCAAAGAAATTCTTCAAAAAGAATTTAATTAGAATTTTCAAAAAAAATTTTTATTTTATGAATTTACAAATATTATTCTATTTAAATAATTCAATTCTCGTATAGCTGAATTCCGATAGGAATTGATTTAAAAAAATCTCGAAGCTTCGCCTACAGTTTGTTCCAAAAAAAGTGCTCATTCAAAAATTGGCAACTGCTAGCACTAGTTACGAACGATATTTTTCATAACAAGGTGCAAAAAAGTGCCCTTTTTTGCACCGCGTTATGAAAATATTTGAATTTTCATTTTAAAAAATCTATTAATTGCATTATTTTTCTTTAAAAATTCTTAAAGTTTTTGAATAATTTTATTTAAAAATTCTGAAAAAAAATTATTGAATTTTGGAAGAATTACAGTTGCAATTTTTAGAAATAATTAAATTTCAAAAAGAGTTTTTCATTTGGAATTATTTGAAATTTTAATTCCCGTGGAAAAATAAATAAGAATAAGTTTTTAAATTTTTGTGAAACAAAAAGTATTCTAGTTTTGGATAATTTAATTTAAAAATTGAAAAAAAAATTTGTTTCTTGAAAAAGTGTAATACAAATTTTTTTTAATAAATTATTGTTTTTTCGAATATAATTTTAAAAAATTGAATCAATTGAAAATTTTGTCAAATTTCATTGAAATAAATTTTATATTTCAATGAATATAAAACAAGAGTTGTACAAATAATTCTTAATTTTTTTTTTAAAGAAAAATTAGATTTTTTCAAAAATGAAGAATTTTTATTAAATTTCCAAAAAAAAAATGATTTAAATTTAAATTGCGTTAACAAGTTGAGATAGATTCGATTTAAAGTAATTTTTAGCGTGTTAAGGTAAAAAATATTCTTTCTTTCAGTTGCACGTCAAAGCTTGCAACTTGGTTAACTGCTGGTAAAACGATATCAAAAATAGTGGACATTAGCAAAACAATGAACACGAAAACAATTCATATACTTTCAGTGAGATATCTAATTATAATTGTGCGACTAGTGCTTAATCATGGAATTGTCCTTATGGAACATAATTTAAAATATCGTCCGCAGGAAGTTATAAATATTATCAACTACTTTCAAAGTAATTACTTGAGAATTTATTTTTTATTTAAATTTTATAGTTTACAGCTAGCTCTAGTTTATATTTTTTTATGTTTTTATTTTTCTGGATTTTTTATATTTGTTTAAATTTTTTAGAATCAACAAGGTACCTACACAATATTTATTGTACTGGTATTAATGAACAGGACACGACGATGACAAAATATTTCCCCAGCATTAAATCGTTGTACGATCAGCTTCTCTGTCGCATTAAGGGATTGATGGCCTTTAACAACTCCTTGGATTACTTCAAATTGGGAAATCTAACTAAAAAAGATATCCACGGTCAGGTGATACAATCACAGGTAACTATCTTTTTGGTAACGCTAAATTATCAAGTTTACTTTTTTACAGACTATTTTTTTTAGAATTTGCACTACTTTTAATTCGCTAATCATATAAAATGAAAATTATTTTCAAAAATTTAATAATATTTTTAGAAACAATTCCAAAAAATTTAATAAAATTATACTTTGAAAGTATTTAATTATTTAAAAAATTTTAAGAAAATTTTTCACAAGAATTAAATTATTTTCATAAATAATACAATTTTCCCAGGAATTCAATTATTTAAAATCAAATTTTCAAGGGAATTTTTCAAAAGAAATTGTAATTTTTATAATTAAAATAAAATGTTATAAATAGTAAAATTCATCGCAAAGATTCAATTATTATTTTAGAAAATTTTAATTAAAAAGAAAGAAATCAGTTATTTTTTATTTTTATGAATATTATAAATAATAAAATTCATCTCACAAGAATTCTATAATTTTCAAAATTTATTTTTTTAAAAAAAAATTTATTTTTAAAAAGTGCAATGAAATTCTTATTAAGAATTCAATTATTTTCACAAATAATAAAATTTTTCAGAGGAATTCATTTTATATTTAAAAATTTTTGAATAAAATTCGATGCAATAATTTAATTAAAATTGTATTAAAAATAATTATTTTTAATACAATTTTAATTAAATTATTTGAAATGATTCAATTATTTTTAAAAATTTCAAAACTTTTTTCCACAATTTATAGAATTCTTCCCAGGAATTTAATTATTTTCAAAACAATAGTTATTAAATTCCTGGAAAGAATTCAATTATTTCAAAAGTTTTTAATTAAAAGTTCTTCAAAAAAATTTAATTTGTATTTCCAAAAATGTTAATAAAAATTCTTCCTAAGAATTCAATTATTTTCACAAATAATCCAATTTTTCACCGGATTTCTATTATTATTAATAGAATTTCAAATAAATTTCTTGAAAAATGCAATTATTCTTAAAAATTTTATTGAAATTCATTGAAAAAAATCATTTACTTTCAAAAATTATGATGAAATTCTTTACAAGGATTTAATTATAAAAAATAATTATTCATTTCTGTATTTAAATAATTTAATTCTCGTAGAATTTTCTAATATAAATTGATTTAAATGAAGTTCAGTTAAAATTTTAAATAATTTAATTGATTTAAAACTGTAATAATATTTAAATATTTATTTTAAAAAATTATTATTAATTTATTAATTTCCTAAAAAGTTATTAAAGTTTTGAATAATTTTATTTAAAAATTCAGGAAAGAATAATTAAATTTTGAAATAATTATACAGTTGTAATTTTTACGAATAGTTGAATTTCAAAAATAATAATCAATAATAATTTTTTTTAATTTTAATAACTTTTTACTCTCAAATTCTATTATTTTCAAAAATATTAATAAAATTTCTCTCAATAATTAAATTATTTTTACAAATAATAGAAAATTTTTTGTAGAAATTCACTTATATTTTCATTGAATAAAAAATTCTTTAAAAAAATTCTTTTCTAAAATTTGAAACAAAATTCTTTACAAAAATTAATTTATTTTCACAAATAATACAATGTTTCATAGGTATTCATTTATTTAAACAAAACTTCGATATGATTCTTTGGCAAAAATTTAATTATTTTCATAAATATAATAAAATTCTTTGCAGGATTTAAATTATTTTTAAAAAATGTAATAAAAATTCGTTGCAAAAATTCAATTATTTTCATAAATAATAATAAAATTCTTCGCAGAAATTCAATCGTGTTCAAAATTTTTTTTTTTAATTTCTCGTTAAAATTTCAATATATCTTTAAAAATAATAAAATTCTTCTCCAAAATTTAATTACTTTTAAAAATTTTAATATAATTCTTGGCTAAACTTCAATTATTTTCAAAAACGTTCCTCAATTCAATGATTTTCAATATCTACTATTTTAATAAAATTTTAATACAATATTAATCGAATTCCTCGAAAAAATGTAATTAATATATATTTAATTGAAGAATATTTCCGAATAATCGAAATTTCGTAAAATTGAATTGTAAAAAAATTGATTTGAAAATTAAAAACAAAATTTTTGAAAATTTTTTTAGATTTAGATTTTTTTTCGAAAGAATTGAATTTTTAAAAAATTATTTCAAGTTTTTATTTTCTATAATATATATTTAATTGATGTATTTCCGAAAATAGAAATTTCGTAAAATTGAATTGTAAACAAATGGACGTGAAAATTCTCAAGGAACTTTTGGAAAAATTATTAAAAATAATTGATAATTGAATTCTTTCGAAGAATTTTAATAAAATTTTTGATAATAATTACATTTTTCGAAGAATTCACTTAAAATTGTATTAAAAATAATTGAAATCCTGTCAAGAATTTATTGATGTTTTCGAATAATTTTACAATTAAAAACAATTCGTAAATAAATTTAATAGAAAAAGAAGCGTGTTCCCTACTTTAACTTTTATATTTTTGACCTACCAGACTGAAATTTGGCACAAATGTGCGACACGCTCCCTATAGAAAAGAATTTAAAAAGTAAACGAATTATAGGTTATGTTTGTTTTAAATTTATGTTGATTAAAAGTTTCTTTTTACTTATATAAATTTGAAACCAGTTTTTCTCGAATATTTTGTATGTAATGAAGAATTGAGCATCAATAATTTGTAATAATAATTAATTCTCTTTATGTATTTTTACTCCTCAGTTTTATGCATAACCTACTAAAAATTTTTGCTTCTTAACACAAATTTTCCCGATTGCAATTAAGTAGTTCATTTTTTTTAGTAAAAACTGAAAAAATTATTACAAAAAAAAATTCTTTTAATTTTTTGACCTATAGACCAACATATTGAATATTGATTAACTTTTAATTTCAGTCATCGGTAGACGAATCATCTGGAGTTGCTGATGCAGAAGGCGTGACAGATGGAACAGAATCAAATCTTTCCGAAATTCTTGGCGATGAAGGTTTACCTGATATTAATTCAGAGAGTTCTGACGATGAAATGAATGAAGAGGATAATGACGTTGACGACAATACAAATGATTCGATTTAAAGTTTTTTCAATTTTTTTTTTTTGAAAAATTAACAACTTATGTTCGATTCTAGATTTATATATATATTTTTTTTACATTTTTCATAAAATATATTTTCCTAATGACAAAATGGTGTTTTCTTTTTCGTCTAATACGCGACAGAATAATATTTGCGAAAAATATTTAAGAACACTTTTTGCGAGTATATTTTGAAGATTTTTATTTTCATTGAAGATGTGTTTGAAATTGTTGTCTCTTCCAACTTTCATCTGGCATCAATGTTTCCTCGATAAATGTAATTCTACCGGTACCGTCGACCAGTAATATAGAATGTGTTCTTGTTCCATATGTTTTCGTTTCGGACTGAACAAATATTGAACTGAGTGCAGGATAAAATTCTGGACTTCGTTTGCGTAGTTCTTCGTCTGGTAAGTGTCTGGATGGAAATAAATTTTTATTTTATTCATTATAGGGTAATAAATGTGATGGGTAGGAAGTTGACAAAATTTATATCTTAACGGTGTTGGAATAAGAAAAATCTTTAAAAATTTTTGTCAGAACATATGCTTCATCTGAAATGGTTTATTGTCACAATTGAGACCGACGGCTCCCGTTGAAATGATCTTGTTTCAATTGTCAAAATAATAAAATCGTCTTTGGAGCTCAGTTCAATATGATCTCTATTCAATTGTCAATTTAATATAATCTCGCAAAAGTTTCCGTGTAATAAAATCTTAATTCAGAGTAGTTTTAAATTCACTTAAAAAATAAAATATTAATTCGTTTTTAATATTATTTTAGGTTATATAATGATTAAATTAATAACATAAAATATAGAAAAATAAATGAAGAAAATTATAAAATAAATAAAGTACGATATAAATAAATTAATTTTTAACAATTAATATAAGAAATAAAAATTAGAAAAAAAATAAAATTATACGAAACTAATTAATAATAAAAATACTAAATAAACTAAAATTAAGTAAAATTTGATTACGTTTTAATTATATTTTATTTTGTTAATAATTATTATTTTAAATTTCTTTGATTTATTTTATTAATTTTACTATTATTGTAGGTTAATTATTCTATTTATAAAAATATTTATTTTTTATTATTTATATTACCTACATTATACCTAAAAAAGAATTTTAGTTGAAAAATGTAGTGTAATATAATTCTTAATATATTTTTTAAATTTTATAGATAATACCCATTTTATTATACTTTGTTAATTTTTTTTAATTTAATTAATTTTATTATTTTTTGCAATTAGGCTCACCACCTTTTCCAGACGTTTCAGCCGGCCGTCTATGCATTACCGAAGGGAGGGGGGTGTCAATACATGGGAAACAAGCTTTGTTTCAGCCGGCGAAAACCGGCCAAGGTGGCAGCCCTATTTGCAATATTATTTCATACTTTTTAATGAATAATGAATTTTATTAATTAAAATTAGTTATTTTGTATTTTTATTATTATTTAGATTTGTATAATTTTATTATTTATTTTTCCATTTAATTAATTATTAAATTAATTATTGAAGAGTATGAAAATAATATTACAAACGAATTAATATTTTATAGTTATTAATTTATTATTTTTCTGATATTTTTAATAGTTTTAATAATTTTCATAATTTTCTTCATTTATTTTTCTATATTTTATTTTATTAATAATTATTTAATCATTATAAAACCTAAAATAATATTAAAAACGAATTAATATTTTATTTTTTAAGTGAATTTAAAATTACTCTGAATTAAGATTTTATTACACGGAAACTTTTGCGAGATTATATTAAAATGACAATCGAATAGAGATCATATTGAACTGAGCTCCAAAGACGATTTTATTATTTTGACAATTGAAACAAGATCATAACAACGGGAGCAATAAATACTACATCAGTCTGATTCTTTTCAAGTTACGATAAACGTTTCATAAACGATAAACTTCTGACCGCCATTTTTAAATACCTTTCTTGATAGGACCTTTTCATTTCCATTCATTTCTATTGCGCATGCGTTATATGGAATTGAACTTCCGTTTCAAGTTTCGGTCCTGTTTACAGCAGTTTACAGCGTTTACAGCTGTTGCATTATTCAGATGTGAAAACAAATTGTAAAAAGTGTTCTAAATTATTATATCGTTGCATAAAAATTGAGTACAATGATTGAAAAAGATATTGGAATAGATTTAATGAAAAAATTTAAGAATTATTTTAATAATGCGAATGTTCTGTACGAACCTGTCGGAGCATTTGAGAAATTCCAGAAGGTTTTGAATTAGTTGTTGTTGATCCTTCACTGAAGCATTTTTCACCAGTATTTCAAATGTCTCCTTTCCTACTTGAACCTTTTTGTAAGGCTGATCGAATGGGCTATTACCGAAACCGAGTATTTTTTCTTCGCTCGTTTGCGGTGCTTTCATATCTGACGGACTGCTCAACCATCTGACATTTGCGTTTCTATTTCAAGAAAATTTCACACTGTTTAATCCAGAATTTTATTTATTTTTTTAAAAATTAGTTTTTGAATCAGGAATTCTATGAATTTATTTTCAATCCATATGGAAAGGTTTGCTTTATTATTTTAATGAGATAGTACATCCAAATGCATATATGCCGTCCTTCCGGTCTGACGGAATTTTGAAAAATCGTGTCATTTCTGTTAAAATGTTTTTAATTATGAAGACATAGTAAATAATATTCATACACCATGAACTAAGAATATTTGATAGAAATGCCCCGACTTTTCAAAATTCAGATAAACTGAATGGACAGCGCATACATATGCATTTGAGTGTATAAAACTGTTAATGAGTAAAATTTTATACGTACGCTAATTCGAAAAGAACGAGGGTGTATGGATTATACTTTTCAGTTTGCCGATCAATTTGGTAGAGTTTGTTTAAATAAGTTTCGCAGGATTCATCCGATGTGACATAGTCGGCGACAAGAAATCCGCGTCCTTCCTTTGGTGTTTGTGAATGTTTTGACTCGCCACTCAGAGTTAATATTGCGCCCGCTTGACCCTTCGTCGAGAGCGCTAACCAAGTTCCTCCTTCTTTGCCTGGCTCCATATCTGTTCCTAATTATTTTACTTTATCTATAAAAGTGCTTCTAGAATAAATCTCAATGCCGTTTAATAATATAGTAATAATTTAATACTACCCTATAGGTATATGTATAGTTCAAGCTAAGCTATTTTTCTACAACCTCTTGGACAAATTCATTCTATCAAATTTCAAAATTGACATTATATTCGTAATCAGCGATCGAAAAACCCCTATATTATAAAGTTTTATTAAAATCCAAAGAATTTTTTTTTCTCGCATTTTAGCCATTTCCTTTGAAATTATTGTATCCGCAGTCAAGGGGTTAATTATATTATTTTTGTTTATATCGAAAAACAAATATTTTACATTCTTTCGTTAAGTATTCTTTAATACAGGCCTCGGACTGAATTTAGAAACAAAGAATAATATTAAAAAGTATTCGATCACTATAAAAAGAATTCTTTACTGAAAAAGAATGAGTTAAAAAGAAAGACTGTTGATTAAACAAATAAGATTAGATTCAATTATATAATTAATATAGTTGTTAAAATAAACTAATATTTTCTTACATTTAATTATATACATATATACACTCATTTTTATTATTTTATACTTATTTATTTTCTATATTGTCTTCTTCTATATATAGATACTACATAATTACTATCTATAATTATAATGATATAGAATAATTATAATATAGGTAATAAAATTGTAAGTACAAAAAAGAATCAATAAAGTAGTAATTAAATGAAAAAATTAATAGATTATAAATTAAAAATTTTTTTAAAATGTATAAATCTTTATATCAATATAGTAACTAAGCGTTATATAAATTATTATAAATTTTATAATTAGAAATATGCCATTATTAATAATTATTTACAAAACCAATATTATATTATGTATAATTTAATAAACAGTTATTTCAATAGTAGTGAAGGTAAGACAACTTTCTCAGGAAACGTACAATTATTTACATAATTAAATATTTTTATTTATTCTTAAATTTACATTTATGACAGAATTTACAGATCTTGTATCGTATTTATATTATTAATTAATAATTTTAAAACAGATTTGGACAGATAGAAATTTTTTTTGTAAATATGCATCAATAATAAAAATAAAAGAAAGAAAGAAAAATAAAACATAAATATATATACATTTACTTTCTATGTATAAAAGAATTATAAAAATGTACCTCCAAGACAATGAGGATGTTTCTCCCAATAATGAGCCGGTTTTGCTGGTCGATTGAGAACTTCATCTCGATTTGAAATAACAATTAATCGAAAAGAATGACAATCAGCTTTTGGATCTCGATAAATAAATAAAATGCACATTTTTGCTATTTAATAATTGTTATAATAACAATTAATTTTCTTTCTTATACTTTGTGTCTTATAGAAAGAAATCTTAAATGTATTTTAAATATTTGTCACGAGAATATACTTATCAGTAGGTAACATTCAAAAATATTAATTTTTTACACTTTTTTACTGTTATCTACATTTGATAAGAAATAAGTAAACAAAATAATTGTTGATGAAAATTTGTGTACAATGCTTTAAATTTGCGAAAGAAAATTGAACGAAATGTACGTGTAGAATAGGAGACGTCAGCTGATTGTCACTAACACATATTGGAGCAGAAATAACTACTGTACAATATCTTATTTCAATACTCTCACTCGATTCATGCGCAGAATATTTTAATACTTATGTGTGACTGGCAAATAAAGGCGCTAAATAATTGTGCCATTTTTTGCATTGTTCATAATTTAACTAAAAATTGAATATACTTAATTATTATATTATTATTTTAAAATACAAAAGAAAATTTTTTTTATTTTCTTTATTTATAATGAAAACGGCAATAACAAAAATACCTTAAATTAATAAGTAGGACTATTTTTAGGCTAAATAATAAAAATTTTAACTTAACAATAAAATATCATATAGGGTCGCTTCACTTTACTATACCTAAAAGTTTTTATAATTATTTTTATAATTTTGTATTAGAGAGAAATTTTATTTAAACATAAATGTTAGAATTATTTCTATTCCTTAGATTTTATTATTTTTTCAATTTTAATGTAGTCATATTTTTATATAAAGTATTTTGATATATATTTATATGAATTTATAACGCGGTACATAGATTGTACTATAATAGTTTATATATTTATTGTATTAAAAATTATAAATATTTTTTTTATTATTTGAGAATTGATTATTTGTTTTATGCACGTTTTTTATGTCAATATAAAATGAGACACTTGTTTTTGCAGTGAAGAAACATAATTTATATAAATATATAAATTATCTGTGAAGCCATTTTATTAAAAAAAGACAGAATATTATTACAAAAAAAAATGTTTTATATCTCTCGATAATAAACATTTTTTTCAACATATTGTAAAATTCGAATTATAAACATATTCAATTATTATTTTAGGTTATATTTATGATGGAGAAAGTGTTTGTAAACCCTTATCAAGATGAAGGTATATACTTTCTCATACATATATTACACACAGTATTAATAAACGTGGTCTGTCAGAATTTGTAAGTAATTTACATATATATCCTTATTCTATTAATTATTTTTTTATTTTTCGAATAAAAAAAGTATTGTAGGGTACACAATAGTATTAATAAAATGTTTTTATAAATTATTTGGATTATTAAATATTCAATTTCGAATGCATTGGAAAAAGTAATCATAAAAATTAAAGGAAAGTCTAAGTTACCTTTTTATCATCGGTAGACTTTTTTTATAAACAAATAGTAATAATGTCTATTACTATATTTGCTTTTGCCCCAATGAATTAACAATTCATTCATTTTAATACTGCGCCTTAAATTCACAATCTTAGTAATTACAGTAATGAATGTTTTTTACCATCAGACGAAATTTTGCAAAGTACGTTCAAAATAATCCAAAGGAATATAAAAATAACGATTCATTATACCGCAAGAATACTACCTGGTCAATTAATGTCTTTAGATCAACAATGCAAAAATTTTGGCTTTATGAAGTGTAGTCTAGTAAGTTTTTTTTAAAATATTATGAAAAAATTTAAAGTTTCTTTAACAATAATAGTTTAATTTCATTATTACAATTTTCTTGTAGTCGGAAACATGTTTAGAAGTTCGGTGTATCCAGAAGATATTTCAAAGGAAAATGTACAATGCAACAATACATTAGCCCCCGGGGGAAGGCTCTTTTTGTGGTGACGGAAAGGTAATAATAAAAAACTCCTTTGTGCCAGTTTCATAATATTGATATCTATCCTTTATAAATATTCCACAAATTCTATTGCATTTGCTTGACTCAAAATTTTATTTTTCAGTATTGTTTTTAAGGAGAGTGTGTAGATATTGTAAATAATGTTTCAAAAAATGAAACTCCTCAAGCGGGAAAAGAAAGATGGTTTTGAAGAAAGAACCAGTTAGATCACCATCATCAGTCCGTTCAAAAAAACCATTTACTCCCATTGTTAAAACAGATTCAGTAGTAAATGTCTCAGAGTCGTCAAAAAGACAACTAAAAGACATTCTACGTCTAGTCTAAAAGATGTCATCAAAAAGTACGTCTTTAATGATAGATCGTCCAACATCCTTCCGGCAGGACGAAAAAGACTTAGGTGAGTCCCTCCGAAATCACTAAAGAAAACTAACATGGATTCAGATAAATAAAAAATGATATATATCATTGGAAAGGTAACGAAACAAGCTTTCAGCGCATATAAATATCATATTAATTTTATAGAGCAATTTCTAAGGGACTCGCGCCTGAGTCTATACTCAAATATACTGAAAAATATTAAAAATAAATTTTTTTTTAATTAAAAAATTAGGTTTCATTCTTTGAACGTTTCTGAAGAGAAAGAGACTTGTCCGGTCAAAAAATATTGATTTTTGGGGATTTTACATTAAATTTACGAAAAAATGTTTTTTTCACTGTTTAAAAACATAGCAAGTTTAAAGGCTTTGAAAAATGGTTTAAATTATTATTTTAAAAAGTCAAAAATATGGATTTTTTCGTCTTTTCGTCTACTTTAATCCCAAGGAGTGCCAGAAAAGAAAAGTTGAATTCCTTTTTTTTAAAAGCCTTTTTTTCGGAACGTCCTTCCGGCAGGACGGGCGCTTGGACGAATTATCATTAAGATACAAAAGGGACGTCTAGAAGACGTCACTACTTGTTGTTATGGAAGCTAGCCTATCACGTCAATCTTCTTTAAAGTAGATAAGATAGAAATTAAACAAACTTTTTGTTATTTTTCAGGATTGCTAGAATAAAAAATGTTAATTAAGAGATGCTAACGACAGCGATTATATTGACCATCAAAATCAATTGAATCCACGCCAATTTTTCGGAAATATTAATGCATTATGAGTATTAAGATTTTATGATTTATTTGAATCGAAATAAGTAATTTACGGTCATTATTTATTAGTTTACCAAACCTCATACTTCTGAATTTTGACTTCTGCAATTTTTTTTATATAAAATATAGAAAAATGTTTTATTAATACACTGGAGCTTCACTTATTTTCACTAAGTCCAAACAAACTAAAAGGCAAAGTCGCACTTATTTTCACTCTGAAACGTAACATTCAAATTGATTTGATTGGTGGATTATTTAACATCAACCAATGAGAACGCACGGAGAACCTTTTAACTGAAAATAAGTGAGACTGGAAATAGTGAAAATAAGTGCGACTACAAATAAGTGAGACTGAAAATAAGTGAAGCTCCAGTGATAAAGAAAATATTTGCTTTTGCGCTTTATATACGTCATCTATATATTCTCACTTAAAATTCACATGTGTACATAAAAAAATAGAATACCTATATACAATTAATATGTACGTAATTTTTACGTCATTTTAATAAACCCAAAGAAAATACACCAATTTTTTTCAGCTTATCACACTTATTTGACGTTTATTGTCAATCGGGTGTAATTCTATCACATATACTTTTGTATAAATTTCCACTAAATAAATATAACAGTTTTTTAATATTTCATTATTTTATTCCTTCCTACTTACTATCAAACAAAATTTTAATATTGATTCAATAAATATGACGTATTTAAATAAATATTCTTATCAGTATAAAATAATTAAAAATTTCAATCTTGCATATATAAAAAGGCATTTAAAATTAAATCTATTATTGGATTCTTCATTAATAGTTAACCCAAAGACTGATTCTGCAAAAAGGGTAAGATAAATTTTTAATCTTTTGGTTCAATTTTAAACTTTAAAAAATTGCAAAAAAATCAATTTTTTAAAAGTTACAAGTGGGGTTGCCCCCTTAAATTTAAAATTAAAATCTTCCTTTAAAGTGAATAAATTAAATGCGAGATGTACTATTGCAGATGAATTACTTGCCAAAGGTGGGCACCGTTAACCTAAAAATTAACGTCGTTAATCGTTAATTCGTTAAGTGAAAAAGTTAACTTCGTTAATAGTTAATCCGTTTACGAACAAGAAAATTAAGGTTGAGTCCACAATAGCACTCTTGAACGGAACGTAAACGAAACGAAACAATGCTAAGTATATTGTTTCATTACGTTTACATCCCGTTCAAAAGTGATATTGTGGACTCAACCTAACGGAAGTTAACGTTAACCGTTAAACACGCAAAAAAATCCGATTTAAAATTGTGGAGTTCAGCGCTAGTAACTTAGATTTCATTCCCAAACTTGTCTACCTTTGCGGCTCCAGGATAGAAAACAGGGAAATGAATCGTAAAAGGGTTAAAGCACGTCAGTAGGCTTAAAATGTTTTCGTTCTTATGCACACTTATACGCGGAACAAAGCAGACTAAACACATTGATAGGCGCTTCTGGGCGGAGTCCAAGGCAAGTCTAGTGCCGAGTCCCATACTGAATATAATGTGAGCAGATCTTCTAGTGACCTACATTATTACTTTTATTTGTCAAAATTTTTACTTTTATTGGAATATTCAATTTGAAACTAAATATAAAATCTAAAAATGAAACAACTGAAAATATTAGAATACTTTGAATTTTATAAAACTTCTCTCTGGGATTTTTATTATTCTTTAGATATTTAAACGTAGAATCTCTTTAAAAATTAAATACAAGTCCTTTGCCATTTTTACTAAAATGATCTTTTTTAAAACGTTTAAAAAAAGAGATTTTATTTAAATATCTACAGATTAAATAAAAATTCCAATGCGAAGATTTTTAAAATTCAAAGTATTCTCTATTTTTTAAAATATTATCTCATTTTAGACTTTACATTTAGTTGCCTAAATTGAACATTACAATAAAATATAATAACAATTAGGCATTGCATAACCGGCTAAAAACAAAATAAACACACACCTAATCTGAAAATGAGATCAAACATTTCACATAGATATTCTTCTACATTCATTTGTAACACTAAAACTTTATTACAAAACTGCACTCACTATTATATTTAAAACTAAAATTTTTATTAATTGAAACAATTAATACACTACGAACTACACCGACCCTACTAAAAATAAAATCACAAAACGACAGAAATTTAGTCAGAATCTCTGACGTTTTTATCTGACCGTCATAAAATTAAAGGGAAATCTTTTTATTTGTTTATATTCATATTTATTTAAACATTATACTTGTTTTTCATCGA